GGTGTTTAGGTACATCAGGTACTCAAAGTTGGATATCTCCCGATTGATCCAGCGCTGGGTGAGGCCCGAGGCTCTCAGCAGCTCCGCTGGCGAGCGACCCGAGCCGTACAGTATATTCGGTAGCGGAAGACCCACGATTTTGGTGAAGACCTTGTTACGAGTCTGTTTTGCGAAAAAGAAGCACGGATTAGGAAAGGAAGAACTCTCTAGGGGCGTGACCCACCTTCGTTGTGAAGTTGAGGAAGTAGCTGGTCTGGTCCACCAGGAAGATCTCCAGCGCACTCCGACGCAGATTGTACTTCCGCAGATGGACCTCGCGTATTTTGTTGGTGGAGAACCTGAAGTCGTGCTTGGACCCATCCTCAGTGGGCGGGCTCAGGTCCACGAAGGTGAACACGCTCTGGTTGACCTCGATGCGCCCCTTGACCTTGGTCATCAGGGTGATAAGCTCACAGTCCTGCGACATGACCAGCTTCTCCAGGGCCACATCCTGCTGCGACTGCGAGTCGATGAGCTGCCGCAGCTCCTCCTCCAGCTGGGAGCTCTCGTCGTCGGCCAGGAAGTCGCGCACCACCGCATTCTTGATGGTCGAATCGAACTCCGATATTTCCCTGTGTGGAAACGATCAGTCAAATGCAGTTCTTGGCTGGACCGGACAAATGGGCTTACTTGGCGTCGTAGGCACTGGTGGCATTGTCCCTGAGGTTGGCCGCATTCTCATGCTTGTTGGGGTACAGCTGAGGCTCCAGCTTCAGGCGCATGCGTGCCACATTCTCGTGGGGCGACAGCTTCCAGAACTCCTCGCCCACGTCCCTAAAAGAAAAATGAATGAATTTTAGGACCCCAGTCAGAGAAATTTCATCAGTTTATCAGAGGAGTGCGAGAAGAGACGGCGGATCCTATCAAAGACTAGGACAAAAGACAGCAGTTTTTTGGAATCACAAAAGTGTTTTGGAGTTTCTTTTATTGTTGGGTTGCGATGAAAGTCATTTTAGAGCACGACAATGATTAATCGAATATGTACAGATGAAAGTCCTTTGTCGAATTGCAGGAGGTCCTCAGACAACGATGGGTGCGGCCAGGGTCTTGGCGAACACCGGAGCTGGGGCAGCAGCCACCACGGGGGCAACGGGAGCGGCAATGGTCTTCGCCAGAACTGGTGCCACGGGGGCCACGGCAACGGGCACATCCTTCTGCACCACGGCGTTGAATCCGTTGATGTCGTCGGCGTAGTAGGTGACGATGCGACGGGAACCGTCGGGCTCGATCAGGGAGTAGGAGCCACGCACGACATCGCCATCACGGGTCTCCTCCTGGGTCTTTGAGTCACCAGTCAGATTATCCTGGACATCGTAGGCGAACCTGTACTGTGGATGGGCGTCCACAATCTCGGTGGCAATGGGAGCGGCCACGGGAGCAGCCAGAGGAGCGGCAACTGGAGCGGCAAGAGGAGCAGCGACCACGTTCTTGGCTAGCACTGGAGCAGCCACTGGGGCGGCCAGAGGAGCCGCAGCAACTGGAGCAGCGAATGGTGCAGCGAAGGGACCAGCTAGGGGAGCAGCGGCATAGTTCCTGGCCACCAGAGGGGCGGAGTAGCCCAGAGGAGCCGAGTAGGCGGCCGGGGCAAAGTATGGCGAGGCGCCCAGAGGCGAGGTGTAGGCCAGTGGTGCACCGAAAGGAGCTGCCGCCAGGGGGCCGCCCAGAGGAGCCACCAGACCAGCCTGAGCCGAGAGGGCCATCGAGGAGAGGACTGCTACGACCTAAAAGATGACGAAGAATCAGCGTGAGGCTCCCATGAGTCCGGGCCTGGGCGCACTTACCGTCAGAGGATTCATTGTGCGGCTTGGGTGGGGGTTTTTGTGCGATTGTCACCGTCGGTTATCAAAAATGAACTGACATGCCCTGACCAAAAAAACGCCGACTTTTATACGCTGCGGAGATCCATTCGCGATCCATTCGCGTGCGAAATTTGCATTCGTCGCTCAGCTGTTGGGAGCCGTGCGTACGTACCAATTGCGTATGGAGGGGGGGTGGGGGCCCCCATTGTGCCCAACCGAAATCTCCTTGCGTCTCTTCCTCCTTGGCTTTTGGCCGCGTCTGCCTATGATCCAAATTCTCGGCACGTAGACCAATTTCCAGTCGTCTTATGTCTTCTGTTGACTGCCTGCCACTTGCCATTTGCCGCTTCAAGTTTTCATTTTTATTTGCGGGTCTGTTTTTCGATTTTTACCTTGCTCTGACCGGGCATTCGGACCGGGCTCTGTTGACTGGATTGAAAGTGAATGCGACTTGATTATGCTTCTGTGCTGGCTGCGGTTTCTGCGTTAATTGTCATGCAGGGTGGGCTCCATCTATCCATCCATCCAATGGCAGTGCTTTAATTTCAATCTTTAACACCCAAAATCACTTTGAACTCGAAAAATGGTTCAATATGGCAGGTGGAAATCGCTGTGTCCTTCCTGGTTCTCCTGCAGCGTTCGTCCTCGGAATTGGTTTCGATGCGATTCGATTCGATTCGATTTGGGTGGTGGCATTGGACGGACTCGCCCACGAATTGGAAAGTTTTAATGTCCATTCGATGGGGCTTCAATTGGAAATGCTAATGAGAAACACCTTGTACATAATAAGGTCTTTTCACCCAAGGGTCTGGTTTCACCTGGGACACGCGACAACTGGGTCAAAGTGTTGCCCAAAACGTCTGCATATTTGCGGGAATATCAGAACCATCAACAATTATGTGGCCTCTATTCCGTGGCAGATCACTCAGATCTACAAAGCAGATCAATCTACGGCGAGCACCACGTATTCCCTTCTCCAATTTCTGGCTCTGGGATACACGATGTCCCATACCCAGCCACTGCTTAGAGATTCTCCATCGATTCCATGCTGTAACTGGCGGATGGCTCCGAGTGCGTGACTCTTTTGCTAAGTGCAACCAACGACCTTGCGACTTGTTGGCTCCGGATTCGTTTCGGAGCGTGTTCAGAGAGAGAGAGAGAGAGAGAGAGAGAGAGAGAGCGAGAGGACAGCCACCTTACTCTCCGAGCTAACGGTTGTCGGCGTAGATTGTCGCCACCGGAAACGAGGCTAAAACACATCCAATTCGGACCAAAGCGAATGGAATGCTCTACTGCCATAAATGCAGTTCCTTGCTCAATCTTCCCCCGAGAAGAGAATTAATTAAAAGTAGATGAAATAGTACGAGTACGAGTACTCGCACTCGCACTCGCACTCGCACCAGTAGCCAGACGTTGCCACTTTGCTGCCGCTGTGGTGCCAATTGTGGGCAAGGTCGCTGCGGTTAAAGCTTCCAAAATGCCTGCAGCTTGGCTTTTTGGCCCGATCGAGGCAATTACGTTGGCTAAGTGGCTCTCGACTTGGCCAGCAGCGTCAGCAACGTAAGCAACGTAAGCGCTGAGCTCTGGGCTCTGTGGCATGTGGGCGCGTGTGCGTTTGAGTGCAAATGAGTGTCTCAGCTACAGGCTTTTCTTGTGGTAGAAGGGTATATTTGTTGTTTGTGGATCAAGAGAGGGATTGATTGAGCTTTAAATACATATATTTTCAAATTTATACCAATAGATTCGATTCGAGAGTGGAAATTGCAAAAAGAAAGTGACGCTAATATGAAAATATTTGATCATATTTCAAATAAATTTGGATTAAATATATTTCTTAATCATCATTCTCTATCTATTCTCTTCTCCATTGAGAGTCTGTACTTAAAAGAAAATCCTTCAAAATGTTCTCTAGGGTTTCATTGCTTTCCAGTGACAGTCCGCAATGAGGCTTGATCGGATCGTTGGTATTTCGGCTCTTTGACGAGACCCTAGACAACAAGAGAACTTTACGTTTACTTTAACAAATAATCGGCTACAAATTCGACCAAAGACGTCTTCTTTTGCCAGAATGTTAAATTATCAAATTTTAGGCCTGATCGATGGGATTCCCCATTCAGTATGCCATTCATAGAAAATAAGGTCTCATTGTCCGAAATGGCCTTTCGTTTATTCTGAATTCCTAATCGAAATAGTGGGTATCTTTTCTGTTGGAATACTCGATTATGGCATTCCTTTGGCTGGATTTATTTTCGGCTCCGGGTGGGTACGTGTGCGAGTGCGTAATTGCTCCATCGACAAAGTTCTTCCATTTTCCATTTTCGATTTCTAATTAAACGAGTGGCCTGCCGCACCACTGTGAATGATCTTTTTTTTTATGTTGTTTGTTTTTGCAACTGCAACTGCCTCAATATGAGGCAGCTATTACATCAGACAAAGTTCGGCTTAGGCTCAGGCACAGGCACAGGCACAGGCGCAGGCACAGGCTCAGGCCTAGGCGGCTCGCTGGAGAATTCAGTGAGAATTCACCGAAAAAAACGAAACCAGATTGGGCAGCGGAAAACGAGTCTCCGATCGCTCAGAGCTACTCAGAGTGCTCTGAGTGCTCCCAGCCGCTGCTTGGAGCGGCGCTCTTGAACAGACATTATGGTTATGGCCTGATCTGGTCTGGTCTGTCGCCGGAGTGGAGTGGAGTGGAGTGGAGTGGACAGTGAGTGGTGTGGTGTGGTGTGTGCCTGGGAGCTATTCCATTGAGAAAATTTTAGCAGTCATGATGAAATCCGCACCAGAAACACGAAATAGCCACCGATCACACACAGATGAGTGCAAGTCTGGGGTGCAAGATCGAGATCGAGATCCAGATCGAGATCGCTGCAAATGCAGCCACCAAATGAGACGCAATTGTCACTCTGCCCATTAGATTGTCCAGTTTTGAGTCTCTGCTGTGGCGGAGCAGGAGACGGTGACGGAGACGGGGGCCAGGGGCCAGTGGCCAGTGGCCAGTGGCCAGTGGCCAGTCCGCGAGTCGAATATAAAACTGAAGAGATCGCGGAAAATGCATCTCACACTCGATCTGAGTTCTTGCAGAGCAGACACAAGGAGCTCCCAGCAGCAGCAGCAGCAGCCACAGGCACAGCCACCACAACCGCATTCACATCCTTCACAATGTTCGCCCAGGTAAGCCTCCAGGATCAGCTCGATGCCAAGCCACTGCTCCTCCACTGATTCCTCTCCTCCACAGACCTTGCTCGTTCTCGGCCTCGCCCTGTCCGTCGCAGTGGCCATTCCCATCGATCCCTATGGCTCCTCCATCTCGTATGCAGCTCCGGCCGTATCGTATGCAGCTCCGGCCGTGTCGTATGCAGCTCCTGCCATCTCGTATGCCGCTCCCAAGCTGCTGGCCGCCCCGGCCATCTCCTATGCGGCTCCAGCCATCTCGTATGCAGCTCCCAAGCTGCTGGCTGCCCCCGTGGCCGTGGCCAAGGTGGCTGTGGCGGAGCCCTACGATCCCAATCCACAGTACAGCTTCTCGTACGGCGTGACCGATCACAAAACCGGCGACTCCAAGCAGCAGGAGGAGACGCTCGTTAACGGAGTGGTCCATGGCAGCTACTCCCTGGCCGAGCCCGACGGCACCATCCGCAAGGTCACCTACACCGCCGACAAGGTCAACGGCTTCAATGCGGTCGTCGAGAAGAAGGGCGTGGCGATCGCCAAGCCCGTCCTGGCCGTAGCCGCCGTGCCGGCCGTCACCAAGATTGGATACGCCTCCGGTCCCGGCCTCAGCCTGGGCGGACACTACTAGGCGGAGGAGCCCCACGAGGAGCATGACGAACTCTCTGCCACCCTCTGGCCCAGGACCGTTGTTAAGTAGTTCTAATACACCGATTAACACCACTCTCCACTACCCTACTCTGCCACCGCTGAAACCCATGAACGTGCCTGCTGTTGTCCAGCTCATCTGTTGACCCTCTTCCCGATCCCGAGCCTGATCACTCTACTGATCACTCGACACCACAGACTACACACATGTATATAGGGGATACCCTTTTCTGGGGATCTGGGGAACGGCCATGGGCCAACCACTTAGTGAATTAGTTTCTGCATTTACTGAATAAAAGTTTCGGTACAAAAAAACAACTCCAAAGTGTTCCATTCCATCTGGCCATCTATTGGGGCAGGTCCGGGCGCTCTTGAATGCCGATCACGTACTGCCCACAGTATCCACAATTATCACAATTCATATTGGAGGAGTCGATAGCGGTAGCAACATTGTGCAAGTCGAGTCGGCACGTTTCTATTTGTGGGGAAACCTCACGACGCTCCATTCCAGACATGGCCCTTACGTCAGTGGCCCATTCGGTGGGTTCAGTTTTTGGCAACGGTTGCCACACGACGCATGTCATCGAAGAGAGCAGCCGGTGGCCCTTTAAAACCCCGATCCATGGGCACCCAGCCACAGTCCAGACAGCGTTGTCAAGCCTCCACCACACCGATCCAATCCAGCAATCCAGCAATCCAGCAGCAAGCATCGCCATGGCCCTGTTCAAGGTGAGTCCGTGAAAAGAGTTCAAAAGAGTGCCCGGCTAATCCCACTTCCCGCCTAGATCACACTCATCTGCTGCGCTCTTTTTGCCGCCATCGAGTGTGGCCTGCTCCCGGTGGGAGCTCCAATCAACACGGAGGTGGATCCCCATCCGCAGTACGCCTTCGCCTACAACGTGCAGGACGCCATCACCGGGGACAGCAAGAGCCAGCAGGAGGTGCGCGACGGCGATGTGGTCAAGGGATCCTACTCGGTGGTCGATGCCGACGGCTCCCTGCGCACCGTCTTTTACACCGCCGACCCCATCAATGGCTTCAACGCGGTGGTGCAGCGGGGTCCAGTGCCACGTCCTGTGTTGCCCGCTCCCCTGGCAGCCCCGCTCCTGGGCTAGAGCACTGAGCACTCCTCCCGTTACTGCTGCAGCTGAATTCCTAGATTGTACATAAATTATTGTCCGTCCGTAGTTCCAAGGTTCCAAAGCTCCAAAGCAAAGTCCTATATCATACATCCATACATCAACTTTGTAAGCCAAAGAGATTTTTTTTTATTAAATATCTATCTCTATCTTAAACATCAGCTGTTTTCATGGGTATTCATCCATCGAGTAAAACACTGCTCATTTGCACACGGATTAAAGTCAAGTTCTAGTTTCTATATAGTATTTATGGTAATTTTATCAATGAGCTAAGCTCAAGGTAAATTGCTGCTCATTTTGCTAGAACATACTCGCACGTAGAAACGTGAAATGGAACCAAGATCCATAGGATCATAGGAAACCTCTCCCACAATTAAGATCAGGGCTCGAATCGAACCAGTTCCCACGCAACAGAAATCGAAAGATTGAACGATCGAAAGCTGATCCCCCCACAAAAGACGGGGAGAAACCAATATTTTGGGCTAATCCGCTGGCCGTGCGGTTCCACACACACCCAAAAGAACTCTTCCACCACTCGAAATACATTCACTCGCCCGCTCGACACGCACTCAAATTATTCAATAGTTTAATTGAAAGTGCAAAATGCATGAAAGCTGCTCGATCACAACGTAACTTTTGGGGGGCTAGCCGACACTCGAATACGCTTTATCCTTTATGGATTCGATAGATCATTCATCCTTTGAGAGCATTTTCCTTATACAACAAAGGAAACACTCAAGGACGCTCTACAATTATGATAATGGGGATCTCCTATGAAAGAAGTTTGAGGATCCGCCAGGCGAGAGTATCCAAAAATTCCTTTTTCTGTGTAGTAGTTGTGCAGAATTATTGTGCGGACTGTCTCTTCCACTTTTCTGGAGGCATCGTCTAGAGGCTCATTCGGTAGGTACATTCGTTAGTGCGATTTGTAGAATTAGAAGAAACCTATTTGACCCTCTTGAAGGGTATACAAATCGGCACGAGATGCAATTTCGGATTACGCAAACCCGACCATGTCCATAGATGTTGCAGCTAGCGTCGACTGTGGCATCGGCTGTGGCAGCGACTGTGGCAGCGACTGTGGCAGCGACTGCGACGCCTAACAAGCCTCGCCGTTGAACGCGTTGAAAATTAGTGATAATGGGCAAAATTGTCCCAATGGAAAAAGCGAAAAACATGGAGACTTCTCGGCGTATGCGTATGCGTATAGCCCGAAAACAGAACACAAACAAAATTGTTGCATTGTTGCTGTTGTTGCTGTTGCTGCCGCGTGCATTGTGGAGTCTGGGGCAGTCTGGCGGCGGTGGGATTTTGGTGGGCGCGGCGCAGCAGCGGCTGTGCCAGTTTCGAAGGCTGCGGGCTGCCGTAACTGCAGCAACACACCTTTCAACAATCGACTGCCGACTGCTGGCTGCCGACTGCTGGCTGGGTGCGTGCGTCGCTCTGCTGCTCTGCGTTGCCCCAATCTTATGGCCAGCCAGCCAGCCAGCCAGCCACACACCTGATGCCGTCCGGCCACCCGGTTGCCGGGCCAAACGGTCGCCGCCCCGAAAAAGATTGCTTTCGAATTGAACTTTTTTGTCACGACGCAGAGCAGCAGCACCAGCAGCAGCAGCAACAGGAGGCACCACCAGAGCCAGTTTTGGGCGCTGTCCAGCACCGTCCTCCCGCCCAGACATGCGTGAACGCTGTTGACCGACCGACCGACCGGCGTCTCCTGCTCCCACTCCTCCCTCTCCTCTCATCTCCGCTCAACCCTCCTCCCTCCCAGCAGCCAGGGGCAGCGAAAAATGAATTATTTTATATTTGTCGCCGCTTGTTGGGCTTTACGACTATGCGATTGATCCAACTATTTCTCATAGACAGAGAGGCATGGGCATGGGGCATGGGGCCGGGGGCTGGGGGCTTGGGGCTGGAGGCTGAGGCACGCATGCGCCGTGCGCACTTTTTAGTTGTCGCGGTTGTTGTTTTTGCGCTTTTTGCATAAATATTTGTTGCAGGCGGCGGCCGCTGCTGCTGCCCCTGCTGCTGCTGCTGCTGCTGCTGCATTTGTGGCAGATTTGCTTGTGGATATTTGGGCTTGGGTCTGGGTCCGGGTCTCTCGTCTCTGGTAGGCCTATAAAAAGCAATTGTCGAGCGGCTACAGAACCACAGAGTGAATTCATTTGTCAGCCAAGCAGCAGCACTCCAGCATCCAGCTTTCAGCTTCCAGCAGTTCTCCAAAACTCCGAAAAGAATGGCACAAAAAGTGATCCTTGTATTGAGCGCCCTGGTGGCCGCTGCCATGGCCGTTGTGGTGCCGGGTCCTGGCCTCGGCTACCCAGCGTACCCATCGTATCCTGGACTGGGCGGACCGGCACTGCTGCCCAAGCTGGCCGCACCGGTGTACCCCGCCCTGGCCAAGGTGGGCATTGCCAAGGTGGCTGCCCCGGAGCCATACGATCCCAATCCACAGTACAGCTTCAGCTACGATGTTCATGTGAGTGCAGCCCTCCGGGAGATCCGTTTCTGGTCCTAATCCGCACTGCTATATTTCCTTTCCAGGATCAATCCACTGGGGACGTGAAGAGCCAGCAGGAGTCCCGCAGCGGCGATGTGGTCCAGGGCGCCTATTCCCTCATCGAGGCCGACGGAACCCGCCGCATTGTGGAGTACACCGCCGATCCCGTCCACGGATTCAATGCTGTCGTCCATCGCGAGGGAGCTGTGGTGAAGGCTGTGGCCCCCGTGGCCAAGGTCTTGGCACCGGCACCACTCCTGCACGCCGCTCCTCTGGTGGCCAAGTTGCCCGCCTACGGTCCAGCTCTGGCCCCGGCCTATGGACATGCTCTGGCTCCCGCCTACGGCCATGGCCTGGCTCCCGCATACGGCCATGCTCTGGGTCCTGCCTATGGCCCGGCACTGCCCAAGCTGGCCCTGCCCGCTCTGTCGCCCTTGGGCTATCACTAAGTCAACGAACCGATCAGCCGACGATCAGCACTTGCCGACCCCTCGCCGAAACCCTAGACGGACACATCGCGACAAACCTCTCCTCCACGTGACCCCTTGACCCATGGACCCGCAAGGGCTGGGGGTCACGGCCCGATCGTAGTCGATAGTAGTAGTATTAGTTGAAATGAAAGCGATATATCGGAATATGTACATACGAATTCACCGGCGCACGGATCAGGATTCCGGATTCCAGTTTCCAGCTTACAGATTCCGGATTTGCAGACTCCGGACTCGGCTTCGGATCCGGTTTCGGCGTCCCCTCATCTACACTCACACATTCTCGAGATCTTTCATTTATGTTTCTTGTCTTCTTAATCTTAAGGCTGTTTGACCGCGATAAAAACACTCTATAAGACCCCAAAACATTCAATAATTATTCTTATTCTCATTTAATCGGAGAAGCCTGTGGTACAGAGTCTACCACGAGTGTTGTAGAGCATGCCGAGCGAGAAACTAAATTAGATTGCAATAAAATGAGCCGAAACTATGCAAATGGAAAGCCACAAAGTTGTTGGATTACTCTCTTAGGAGTTTGAATTGAGATCGAAGAAAGACATTTGACTTTGGATAACGGTTCAAGCATAGCACAGTGACTTCTCCTTTAACCTCAGAGAATTCATAAAGATAATCGTCTCATTGTCTTCTAAGAATCTATCATCTCCAAAGACAACTGCTAACATCTCTACCACATGACCTGGTAAATTGAAGTGAATGCTTCAAAAGAGAACGCCCGAGAACAGTAAAAACAAATCACAAACATGTCGTACATGTCGTGTGCATGATTCAGGTCATTAAAGCTCAACTTTGATTTGCTGATAAAGCCTCTTATTGTTGTTGGTGGACTGTTCCCCAATGCGAAAAGCCTGTCCACCGCTACGAAGTACAGCTCTAATCTAAGCGCTCTAATCTTAAAGCTAAACCTCTTATTAGTCGGGATCAGAAATGGTTAAGTACTTTGACGAAAATTAGAGGCATCTACTGAAATTATAGCGTTGGTAATGGGACCAATAAACACTAATCCGTGTAATCAGAGCAAAGATAGTGGCAATAAGACTTGAGGCTGGATTTCGAGTCCGAGTCCGAGTCCAAGCTGATTTAGATCGATTGAATATAGCGACTGCAGCTGCTTTTTGCTATTGCCCGTGAGCGTGGCGACCTTAGAAGCAGGTCTATCTCTGGTGCTGCTGCTGCTGCTGCTGCTGCTACTCAAGTGAATCGTAAGTGAATCGCTCAAGGTCCGAGCCACGCACCTACCCAGCGAGACACAAATGCACCGCACTCAGAAAGAATACAGAAACCCCCGACCGGCCAAACTGCGTAATTCATTCGTCAATGCAAAGTGGTCTAAAGTGAGATTTATGGGCTCAGAGAACTCTGCGATTGGCAATCGATCCGATCGAGTAATTGGCAGCCGGCCACAATGGACAAACTTGAATTTTGATTGCCATTTGCCTCGCCTGCGTAGCGTTCTCTAATTGAATGGACGGGGATAAGCCCGATCTCGGATCTATCGGAGAGCTGACCTCCAATTAAACACTAGATGTTGGATATCAGATATCGGATCTCATCTGCATGGGGCATGGTGGTATGGGGGCCTGGTGGAATGGTGGTATGGTGCGCCGCACCCAATCATAGACCGATGTGCATATTTGTTTTGGCTCAAAATTTATGGATCGCATAATGAATTTTCGTTACATTTGCAGTTGCATAATGCGACGGGGCCTTTGTTGCATTCGACATTAAACACCGTTGATGATTTAATAAAATTAAATTGAAATGTTAATCGCAGCACGGCATGGGCGCTGGAGGCGGAGGCATGGGCGAAAGTGTAAGACAATGGGCAGGTGCGAGGTGCAGCGGTGAAAAGATGCCACAATGGGCACAAACACACAAAACTATGGAGAAGTGAGACAACTTTTACTCAAAGATCAAACAACTCCAGTTCTGAAATATTCCTATATATTACAGACTTAATCTCAATATAAGATTTTATAGATTATACAATATTTAAAAAGTCTTTTAAACACTACCCACATTTAATCGAAATATAAAATATAAATGAATCATTAGATTTTCATGTTAATATCAAAATGTAAGGGACACACTTTATTTTGATTTCACGGATTTTTTCTTCGGGTGCATTATCTTCAATTTCTAGTGTTCATCTAGAGATTATAATTCCTGACGACTCTCAAGCATTTAATTTAATTTTTAATCAGATTTTCAGCTCAAGTTTCCAAATATAACAGTCCATAACAGTATTAGCGTGGATTTGTGGCATTGTTTTGATGGATTTCACCCATTGTTCCGGCAGCAACCTACTAAACGTATTGCGGTGCGGGCTGCCACCAACCGAGAGTGTTGATGATCATTGGGTACGGGACTGGGGTCTAGCCTGGGTCTGTCTCTGCCTCTGCCTCAGCCGCTGATGATTGAGACGGATTTGTTTGCATTTCAAAGTGAAATTAACACAAAAGCGCGAATGCCACTGTGTGTTAGAGTACCTAAATATATATATATATATATATATATATACATGTGTACGAGTGTGTATATATATAATCGTATACTCGTGTATAATAGTACTTAGACGAGTATGTAACCATAGACGTTGGCACGCTCGATTACAATTGTCGCGAGGAGCAATTAAAATGCTGGATTTCGCGTCATTTCATAATGATGGCATTAAAATGGATTATATGGGGAGTGCGGGTACAGACAGATGGATGGCTAGATTGCTTTTACTTTGGCTTTTACTTAGGCTTTTGCTTTTGTTGGTTAGAGACTCACCCGGTATACCAGGGGCCTCGTGGGCCGTACAAGAAGCGCTTGGCCCTCTTCCATCGCTTCCGTATGTGGCTGTCGAGCGTCTTGTGGTGCAGGGCCGCCGCCTGAAGGCGCTGCATCTCCTCCACCTGCCGCACCTTCCACGGCATGTAGATCTTCTGCTGGAAGAGCCGTCGATTGTCCGTCTGGTAGGTGGCCCGCTGCTTGGATGCGGCCTTGCAGGCCTCGTAGCACTCCGCCCAGAAGCGATTGATGGGCTCCCACAGATGCAGCTCGATGTCGCGCTGGTAGCGGTCGTAAAGCGGTTTTACCTGAAAGTGTTAGAAATGAATGAATGCACCATGAATGGTCAACGATAGAGATTGACGGCTTGAGCTGTGCTTCGATTGGATCGGATTTGTTTTCGCTTTCATTCGATTCGGTGCTCGGTGTTCGGTCTTCGTGCGTGTTCCAGACCAGTCTCCATCTCCATCTCCATCTCCATCTGCATCCTAGTCCAAAGTCAAAGTCACGTCCGTTCAGGTTCAAGTTCAATCTGCATGGACATGGAGCTTGGAGCATGGAGCATTGAGCATGGAGCATGAAGCATGGAGTGGCCACAGGAAGAGCTCGATTTCGGTTTGGGGAAACAAGTTTAACTCGATCTTCGATCTTTCGAGCACACACTAAATGGAAGGTGGGGGGGGGGGGGGATTAATCTATGGCGTATCTACGGGCATCCGCATTCGTGTGAAGAAGGGAGAGCCATAGGAGGAGATTCTTTTGCATAATCCGCACACCCGCTGCCAGCGATCGTTCCAGGGCGCTGGGCAGCAACAGCCGAAACCGCCGAAACAGCGGCAGGCAACGGCGGAATCAAATGTTTCTGGTAAAATCTCTGCCCCAGGTGGGTGCATCATAGTCGGTAGTCGGTAGTCGTAGTCTCTGCCGCCGCCGCTGCTTTGTCATTCGACTGGTTCCAGCTGCGCCTCTTCGAGCCACAAAACCAGACCACTTTCTTGGCTCTCAGCTCAGTTGCCGAAAGAAAGTCCGACGATCGTGACGCTACCGCGAGGAAAAGCTCCAATCCAATCAAATCCAAACTCCAGCTCCAGCTCCAACTCCAAACTAAAACTCGGATTCAAAGCCCAATGAAAGTTTCGTTGTTGATGTTCGCGTCGATTTTGAAATTTGTTGTTTTTTTTGTAATTTTTTATGTGTCTAAAGTTTAGTTGTCGCTTCGTCTACAACTCAAAATGTGCAGTTTGTTGTGGCTTACTGCCTGTTTTGTAAGCGATTAAATAAGAAGTGTATTTATCAGATACAAGCATCTAAATGTTGTCGGGGGAGACGGACAGACCAGCGACATTTCCAACAGTTTACAGTTTACAGTTTAAAGGGAAAAAACATTGAGAGGAGTCTAGAATAATCAGTGGGAATGTCCTTTGAGATCTGTGGAGACGTTATACGAAAGTACAGTGAAAAAGAGAATCCTTAGAAACGATTTCCTGAAAATATTCTACTAAACCATGTGGGATGTCCTAGAACCCACCATACTGAGGGCACTTATGAGTAGAATTGATCTCAGTGCCCAAAGATGAGCTGTTAACCTACAAATTTTGAGTAAAATATCTTTTACAAAACGGCAACAAATTGAAAAATTCTAAACGTCCTTAGGACGAGGAAAAAAATAGTCTGGTTGTAGGTCCTTGAAAAATTTTATAATTTTCAGTCGGCATCTACAGAAAAAAGTTCTCAAAAGAGAACAATGTATGGCATTCCATATGAATACCTGTAGATACACTCAGCCTAAGTGACAGTTTTCTTTATATATGTACATTCGAGTAAAGAGAACAGACTCAATGATCAATACTGATCAGAGAAATAGCACCTAAGCATATCACTTTCTAAAACATGGAACTACTTTTAAATGATATAAGTTTTAAAGGAAGAGATCGCGGGCTCCCAGTGCTAGGCCCCCTATGATATGATAAAAAGTTGTATTCCAATGTTGCACACTCCACTCCAAGGTGCATTGAGCCTTTGTCAAGCGACGCCAAGACATGTCCCGCAGGTTTCCTAGACTCCAGTTTCAGGCACTCCACTGTCGGCAGTCGGCAGTCGGCAGTCCGCAGTAAAAAGCAAAACAAACAGCGCCCAAGTGGATTCCCGCACACCTGAGGCTGAGGCTGAAGCTAAAGCTGAACCAGGGCCACCGTTCAGGTTCAATGCTTCAATGCTTAAAGCTCCTTCCAGCTCCCTGCTGAATGCTGCCTGATCCCCCTCCCCTGTGTTTCTTTGCATGGCTCCTCCTGGTTGGATTGCGTGAGATCATCAATGCATGCCAGGCAACGGGGCAGCCAGCCAGCTAGCTAGCCGGCAACAGCGACATCGATCGATGCAACCAATTACGAGGAGCTTGGCTGGGCAGAGAGACTCGTGACTCGATTGCCACTGCTACTGCAACTGCAACTGCAACGCGCGAAGGTGATGCTTATGGCAATGGCTATATTACGTAGGAAGGCAGTGAGGCGGAAGCCACAACCATCACATATAGAGTGGAGTGGGCCCCGAAAAGAGGGTGCAGGGTAGACGTGGAGGTAGAGGGTCTGGGATGTTGGAAAGTCAAAGGTTGGACACATTCAACAGAGAGATGACAACATTTAAGGGGGAGAAAGTTTGATGCTCGTTCGACTGATGACATTTTTGCGGAAGATTAACCATTTACCCTCTGCCCTCTGCTCTCTTCCTCCCTTTCATTACAGCTGGCTCTGTGGCTGCCCTTCGCCCTGAGCGAAGCCAATGCCACACATGTGAGTAACCACCAGACGGAGACGGAGACAAAGACAAAGACCGGGTCGGAGCCAGTGCCTACGGCAGAGAAACTGATCCGATATAGACGCCAGCCGCCCTACAGCGTGATCAAGGGCCCGAGCAAGCGATCCAAGCTGCGACGCCGCACCAAGGGCCCCCCACCTTCGAAGCTGAAGTACGGGCCACCAGTGCCGCCGCCTTCCGGGCACTACCGACACGGATACCGCCACAAGCCATCGTTCCCGTCGTCGCACATAGAGGAGCCGAGCTTCTCCATCGATGATTTCCAGCACCTGAAGTTCGATGGCGGCGACTTCAAGATACCCACCTCTAGCTACGAGGCCCAGTCCATGGACCTGGACTTTTACAGCCATGATCCGGAGCCGGAGCCAGAGCCAGATCTATATGGGGCCCACAAGTTCCCCAGCCTCGATTTTAGTCTGGATTCACCGCATATCTCCTCTGGGTCCGCCTACGATCACGTGCCCCACCAGAAGTACGGCGTTCCACCACTGCACCAGAGCTACCAGCCAGTCGATCATTCCTTCGCCTCCCACTACGAGCCACCACCTCCCGCGCCGCCCTCCACCCGCTATGGCGTACCCACAGCTCCGGTACCGGTGCCAGTCCACCTGCCACCCAGCTTCACGCATGCCAAGCATCCCCCCGCACACGCTCCCGCGCCCGCTCCCGCTCCCGACTCCTACTCCATCTACGAGCAGAAGATCCCCAACGTTGGCTACCACCAGCACTTTGCCGAGCCACCGAAACCGAAGCCGAAACAGAAGCCACAGCCGCAGCCACAGCATCCGCCTGTCCACAGTTCCAACTTTGAGATTGCCTACTCGCCGCCGGCCTTCGAGATCAGCACCTCCTACCAGTCCAACCAGCACGAGAGCTACATTCCGTCCCACCAATCGAACGAGGGAAGCTTTGCCGAGCCTCCTGTGCCGCAGCATCCTCCCACGAATTACGCGCAGCCCCCCGAGCATCCCTCCTCCGGCTATGTAGATCCTCCAGAGCATCCTTCCTCCGACTATGCAGAGCATCCCCCCTCTGGCTATTTAGAACATCCCTCCTCCGGCTATGTAGAGCCTCCACAGCATCCTTCCCCCAACTATGCGCAACATCCTTCCAACAGCTACAGCCAGCCGCCACAGCATCCTCCCTCCTCCGATTATGCCCAGCCGCCACAACATCCTCCCTCCTCCGATTATGCACAGCCGCCACAGCATCCTCCCTCCTCCGATTATGCACAGCCGCCACAGCATCCTCCCTCCTCCGATTATGCACAGCCGCCACAACATCCTCCCTCCTTCGATTACCCTTCGAACAACTACGCCCAGCCTGAACCACAACCCAACCATCCCAGCCAGAGCTATCCGCAGGAGGACTACTCGCCGCCCTCGCAGGAGCTGCCACTGAATCCGCACCACAAGTTTCCCAGCTTCGATTTCCCAAAGTCCAGCTACGAGGTTCCCATCTACGATCCCATACCCTTCGAGGCCTCCACCAAGGAGGAGCAGCAGGAGTCCTATCCGCCCATACTCTCAGACCACTCGCCCGTACCCGTGCCCAACGACATTGCAGAGGATGATACTCATGCGGCGGGCTCCACCAAGAGCTCGACCAAGCGACGGAAGCGCAAGCGAGTGCCCAACAAGCACACCCTGGATGTACCCGAGCTGCAGCAGGCCTACGATGCGGATAGCCATTTGAGAGGAGGAGCGCAAGCGGATGCAGATGCCCACGGATCCCACTATGTGGAGCGGAAGCAGACGTTTGTCAACTTTGTGACGCCCACGACATCCACAACGACCACGCCATCTCCGTGGAGTCCGATGGTGCGCTTGCGTACCACTTCCAGCACGGCCTTCATTCCCACGATAGTGACCAGCACACCTTCGACTCGCACCACCACGCACACACGCGGCAGGAATCGCGGCTCCTCACGCTATCGCTCCGCGCAGACTGTCGCGTCCAGTCAGAGTCCCGAGCCGATCTCCACCAGCGTTAGCATTGAGAAGTCGCGTTCGAAGAGCTACTACGATGGCACCATTGCACCGCCCATCCAACAACAGTTCTCCACTTACGGCGGTCGTGGCACACGACCAACCAGGCCCGCCTCCTATGCGGCCCTGCAGCCGGCTGCATCCAACAAGCGAACAACCAAAGGCGTCTTTGACACGACGCTCTTCAAGAGCCCGCACAGCGACAGGGAGATGGAAAGGAACCGGAACATCCATGTGCTCCGCCAGAACTTGCCAAAAAACCACAAACTATACTAAACTATACTAAGCGAAATCTGCACCCGTAGGAGGCATACGTTTGAGACTTGCTTAACTTGTACTTAGATTCTAGTTATAAAGACTAAATTAAGGAAATAAAATATGTATCATTAGGGATACTTTGTTTTATGGTTTGATGGAGTGGGACATTGTTTCTTATCGGAAACATTTTCTGTATGGATTGGCTTTCACTCACCATTCGTTCAATGAAGTTTCGCCACTTTTTGCTGGTGCTGTACATTTGAAAGTCATTGAAGAAGACGGGTCCCGACGAGGTCGAGGGCAGATCTGGCAGCGTGGAGTCCAGATTGAAGGCCAAGCGACACTTCTCCAGCAAGGCTTTCATTACAGGCATAAGGAATGAATACTCCTCGGGATTTCCAACTAAAAGAAGGGTTTTATAGATGTATTATTAATCTGCAAAGTCCCGATTTAAACCCACCTTCAATGGCATTATCCAGGGCCCTATTGATGCTATACAGGAGATACGACAGTTCGGCGGGATCCTCTGTGGAACGACTTTGTAGGATTGCATGCAGTTTGGCGGTGGCCATGGCCACAATCCCCGGATTGGGATGATGCGAGCATTTCAGCAAGAGCCCCAGACACAAACGAATCATGTCGGACCAGTCGTCCGAGGATCCCTGCTGGAAGATCATCAGGGCATCCAGTAGGGCCAGCACGCCGTCCAGCAGCTTGGTGGAGCACTTCTTGGACTCATCCTCGTTGGAGCCCAGCACCACCAGCTCGTAGACCATGCGGAGGATATGCGAAGCATTCTCCTGGTTTATCAGCGTCTGGCTGCCGTGCTCCGAGAGGTCAAAGAGCGAGGCTTGCACCGCCATCTCGAGGATGCGCAGGCGCAGCGATAGATGCGAGGTAATCAACTCGTTGTTCAGGGCCAGCAGATTGATGCATCCGAGGACCTGGCCGCGCTCCTGCCAGCACTGCGGATGATCGTTGGCTATGCCACGCCAGAAGATGTTGAAGAGCGTGTTGGATACGAGATAGACCAGCTGCTCCTCCGTGTCCACATCTCCATCGGCCACAAAGTCAAAGGCCGAAGTGCTCTGGCGAAGATCGTAACATCGTCAGAGTTTGTTTTTGTGTGTGGGAAAATGGTCAGACCTACCTCCAGAGAGTCACTCTTCTTGGGCGGACCATGCGGCGAGGGCGTGGAGCTGTCGGAGCTCAGAGACTCTTCCCGCTGAATGGAGGGGGTCTGCGAGCCATCCATGGCATCCGTAGAGCTGCCTTGAGTCAGTGATTCGAAGGTGTCTTGCAGGTCATGGGTGGTCTGTCGTATGACGGAGAAAACGCTATTGACATTATCCACCACAGCCCCGGACACAGACTCGGCAAGCTCTGAAAGGCAAAGAGTCATTCTTGAGTCGTTCAAGAAAACGTATTTAAAGATTCACACACCCTTGATTTCACTCTCGATCACGGTGGCCGCCTCAGAGACGCTGGCCTGGATCTCGTTCAGGATCAATCCGCTGTCGCTCTGCTCCTCCTGCTGCTGCTGCTGACTCTGGAGCTGCGCCAGTCCGATCTCCTGCTCGGAGAACGTAATGAGATCGGCCTGGGCCAGAAAGCTAGAGTTGTCCTCGAGCAGTACGTCCATGTTGATGCCAAAGCTGCGACGTTTCTCCTCATCGGGCGCCGAGCTAGTGAGGGGCTTGCGTATGAGCAGGCGTGCAATCGACTCCTGCCAGCCCGTCTGCCTGGCCATTGCCACCGTGGCGTTTGGCTTGACGAAGGTGGTCTGCAGCAGTCGCTTGGCTATCTCCAGCTTCACCGGCAGGTCACAGCTGCTCACGTGATACACGAGAAAGATGAGGCCTGCATAGTCCGGCTGGAGGCCCAGCATTTCATCTGCCAAATGGAAGAGTATCGTGGAGCTTAACGACATGGGCGTGATGAAGGAGAAGAAGCCGGGGAACATGCTCTGCTCGCTGCTTTGATCGTACAAACGGAGCACCTGTTTGTACTTCTGATGCACCCGGGATGTGGCCAAAAGACCGCTTATAAACTGGAATAAGGAAAGGAGATTAGAAGTGGATTCGTTCAAGGGGAAATCAGCAATTGCCTACCCTAATGGCCGCCTCCTGGATCTCATTGGTGTAGCTCTTGTCCACGAAAAAGTTGTAAATGAGATTGGCCGTCTGGGGCTCGTGTAGGAGGAGCACCATCTGATCGCGACAGTTCTTGCCGCGCACATACAGGGTAATCATCTCGAGGAACTCGACTAGAACCACATCCTGCCGCACCGAGGCCAGGAATGTGACCATGGCATTCACCTCCTTGATGTTCACCTCCTTCTGCAGATAGAACCGCACGATTCCGAAGAGTGTAGCACGTATGGTCTTCGCATCGTCGTTGCTGATGTTGTCCGGCGTCGAGTAGTACTGCCGGACCACGTCCAGCACGAACTGGACGCCATAGTGCCGGCGATAGAACTTGCGATCGTTCTTGATCATGGCACTGAGGTACTGGGCATGGCCGAGGGTTATCTGGAACTGCAGACGCGACCAGATGCCAAAGTCGAAGACAATGTGCGCGTAGAGGGTGTCCAGGAGGTGGCCACCGGCATCGGTGCCCGATTTGTGGCCCTGCAGCGACTCCATTAGCAGGTGGGTGGCCATCAGGGCGTTGACATCGAACAGAGCGGGGGGACACCGCTGCAGCATGGTGCCAATGATGGCCAGGCACTCGCTGGCCAGCAGCTGCTCCTGGTTCGTCTCGTGCTCGTGCGTGAGGTAGCGCAGCAGGCAGAGGAAGCTGGCCAGCGGATGCTGGATCATCTTCCATTCCGTGTATGAGTTCGACGAGAGCATCTCCCAGTCCGTTCCCAGTTCCTCGGCCGAGGGTGTGGGCGATGACAGCGACTCCTCCTCGCTGGTGGCTATCGAGATGTCCGCCGTTTGATCCGAGCTCACCAGCCGGTGCAGAATGGGCAATATGGCACTGATTCCGCCGATGCTGTTGATCGTCTCCTGGATCTTCACGATCTTGCAGTGCTGTGCGCTAATCCTGCCCGGATACTTGCCTCCCGGAATCAGATCCTGGCAGGTGCCATGCCACACGGCTGCGGGGGCATAGCAGAACACAAAGCGTGAGTTCAACTCCAGCAGATCGTTGTCCTGCGAGAAAATCGAGCTGAAATTCATGCCCGCATCGAATATGGTCCGCAGACTGGTGGTGGGATCGGCTAGCAGCACTCCACCGAGATGCCCCTGCAGGCAGGTCGGCTCCCCGAACACCGTGTCCTGCATTCCAATGGGAAAGTTTTTCACATTCGGATCGAAGGCCGTTTGGGTGCGCATCGTGGGCAGCGTAAAGTAATTGGAAACCTTCAAGAAAACAAACGATTAGAGACTGATGGAAACAGCTCGCACAGCTTTGATTCGCTTACATTCGCCGAGAGTGTGCGCTCGAGGAGGCTGGGCAGCATGCTCTTGTATCCGCTGGAACCGCTCTCCTGCGAGGAAGACCTGGCCATGATCCCTGCTTTGGCCACATCCCCAGGCTGAGGCGGTGCCACCACAGCCCCAATGGAGCAGATAGTAAAGGGCTCGTTGACGGCCTGCACTTTGAGCGTGGCACTCAGCTTCTGGACAAAGTCCACATAGATGTTTATCTGGCTGTATGAGAAGGGTCGCTTGGGTGGCGTTATGGCCACGGTTAAATAATGCCACTGTCCATCCATCAGTGTCTTGGTGGCCGTAGACGAGGTGAGGTACTCGCGCCTGGTCAGAGCAGCCACTACAACATTCCCGTTTGGTTGGACAAACACCTCAAAGCCACTGCCGCTGCCCGTCTGCAGCGTGAGCAGCATGCGGCGGCTACTTCCGCCCGCCGACTGATCTTTGGCTTGGCTGAAGCGCACCAGAATGTGGAAGATGAAGCCATAGGAGCCGGAGATGGTCCAGTTCCTGATGTCCGGCACCACAATCCCATCCGATGGCTGCTCAATGGCAAAGTACTGGGCGCAGGAGTTGCTGCTTCGCAGACTCTGCAGCGCAATCAGAACGAGTGTCTGCAACAAAGGGAAGGATCATTCAGATGAGGATAGCTAGGGTGCGGCTGTGATCCCATTCACCTGCTGGAGCTGTCTACTTTGTGGGAATTTTGTCCCCTGGCGCAGCAGTGTAAAGATGCACTTCAGTTCCCCGGGCACAATGCTGATCTTGCTCAGCTCCTCAATCAGTTTGATCAGATTCTGTACGCAGTTCTCGGCCAGGGAATCCGATTGCAGCAGACAGCCACACACAGCCTTGATCACGCGACTGTCACAGGCCACAGACTTACTGCCAAAACATAAATGGAGATATAGAAAGATGTATCTGCCAACGATCCTAAGATCCACTCACGTTCCGTAGTTGTCGGTGCAGCCTTTGAGCACCATATTGGTGACATGCAACTGCTCCCGCTCTTGGAGCGTGGGCAGCCAGTGGAGCAGCTGCAGCATCACCTCTGGCATCAGCAGCAGGTGCTTGCTCTCGTCGTAGCCCAGCAAGAAGCAGGTCTCCAGCAGAGCCACAGAGGGGCCAATACTGAACTCCCGCAAGCTGGCAAAGAGCTTCTCGATGCGCTCCCCCTGCCGTAGCTGGTTGGCGGATGGTAGGGAGTGGCGTGTCAACGTGGCCAGAGCCTCCATGGTGCTGCACAATGAACTCGAGTGGGCAATATGCCAGGGCTAAAATAAAAGACTGTCATTAGAATGGATCAAAAGGATTAGGATATGGATGAATGCCGTACCATAATGATCTTGGGAAGATTGGTGAGCAGTTCCAGTAGATTTGTCTCGCCAATTGACTCACTGATGTCCTCGCCTCCGGTTAAAAACAGTTTTACGGCTGCCACTGTGTCGGAGAGGGCGGCCATGTCGATGACCACATCCTGATCCTCTTCGCTGGCTATATCAAAGTTAATATCGCCGCTTTCAAAGTGCTTGGTGGCTAGCAGCTCTTGCAGAGCATCACAATAGAGTTGAACTAACGTAACTAGATCTATTTGGCGCTGTTTTGGAGGAAGGAAAACGTATACATGATCAATTGTGGAGGAGTAGTGATCCCAGCAAAGTAAATATACTCACTTCTTCCGGACTAGATTTTTGCAAAACAATTACCATTAAAGCATAGCAATTGAGGGCCACACGGCGCAGGCTGTTGCCGCTCTCCCACTGCCGCAGGATGCCCATGGTGATGGAGACTGTGGCCGGACAAATGGCTTTCATGCCATTCCGCTAGCAAAGCAATGCAACATTGGGGATTCATTAATCCAACAGTACAGGACAGTGCACAGTGAACAAGCACAAGAACACATGACTACATGACATGACACAGGACATGGCAACAGGACAAGAGATGGTTGAACAACCCACTCACCAAGTTATCACAGTTTACAAGCAGCCCATCACCCGAGCAGGGGGTAAGTGAAGAAGGTGTTGTTAGAGCGTTAGTATTTGTTCTATTTGTCATAGTCGAAGTCGAGCTTAGAGATTTCTGTAAATTTGTTTTAAACGCTTACAATTGATTGATTGATTGACTAATTGCTGCTGCAGTTGGAGGAAGGGAGCATCCAACAGCATCAGCATTACACGAAATGAATGAAGAAAAACATGAAAAACTAAATGATACAACTGTAAGGACCGAAATGAAATTAGGATAAGTGTAAAAGTTGTGTGCGCAACGAAAGAAGAAGGAAGAAGCATAGAAGCTGTCTATGTCTATGTCTAAGGAGTGACGTTAATCATTGAACACAAGAAACCGAAAACCCTCTGGCGATACCTGTGAGCCGCAAATCACAGCCCCCAATATGTTTAGCAGGCTCTCGCCTACGTCTGGGTGTCGGACCAGCGCCTCCTCCTGGAAACAGTCTGAAAAAAATAAGGCCATAACGATATAACATAAGCGATGGCTCGATAGAGATTAGTGACCCAGCCTCACCATAGATAAAGGGAACAATTTCTACATGCACCGAATGGGGCTTGTAGGAGAGGCGAGTGTAGTCGGCCGCCTGGCCACGCACAAAGCTCCGCCACGTTAGATACGGATCGTACATGACCTCCAGAAAGGCCGAGAAGCTGCGGAACAGATGACTTATGGCTGGCACCGCATGCGGCTGCTCCATTTGCTGAAAATTATAGACAAACGCTCAGAGATTGATTGGATGATTGGCAGATTGCGAGATTGAGAGATTGGCAGCTAGTTACCTGCTTGAACGCCTTGGAGAGTATTGCGATGAGGTTCGGCTTGTACTCGTACGTGATGATGGCCAGAATGTTGTCAAAGTGCCGGCACACAATCACCAGGCATTCGATGAGTGTGGCAACCTGTTCAATGGCCTCCTCCTCCAGCCTCTCGCTTGTGTCGCTGGCGTCCCGTGCCACAATAATGAACTTGCCGATGGCCGGCAGCAGCTCGTCTGGCAATCGACCCAGATGCGGTCCACTGTCCGGCAGAACCTCATGCCAAAACGCACAATTCTCGGCTTGAAAGTCCAGTTGCAGTTGGCTGCGCCAAATGGCCACAAAGCGGGCCACGAATTCCCGGAAGTATCTCTCATCGTTCTTGAAGAGGGAGACAGCATGAAAGAGAACGAGACGGATGTATTGTACTGTGGCATGAGCCTGTGCGGCATGAGCCTGCCTTGCATTATATAATCTCGCTGCAGGGTTTACCCTTACCCCGGTCGCTCATTACATTCATTGGCCATAGGCAAGTGTGGCGGTGACTAATGGCACAAGCATGTCACTGTCAATGCCGCTGCCACCGCCCCCTCGCACACACACACAACCGTACCACCGCTAACACTGTTTTGGGGCAGGCTTATCACTTGCTTTCGTTCTTGTTGGTTTTGCAGCTTACCTTTGTCGTGTACTGCACCCACAAGTTGTAGATATCCTTCTTATTGTCCATTATTTGGCCTACTCAGCTAGGCGGAAGCATTTGTTAACAAGTTTGAGCACAGATTTTCCTTCAGCGAGAGATTTGTTTACAAATTAAAATTTTGCCGACGACGATGTCCCCTGCCCTGCCGACCACTGCCAAGAGTTGAAGGGGAAACGCTATTGAAGATGGCCTGCAGCGTCGGCCGGAGAATATAGGTGTATAGATAGCGAGACGTAGCAGCGTCCTCTTGTTGGGCAATTGTTGAAGAAATATTTTACAGAATTTTCACATCGCACGGCACAGGTGAAAACGGCAACAGCTGATTGCTGCTTCTTCTTCCAGTTTGCCCATTCAGAGTTTCAGTGTTGGCAAACGAGCAGGGCATTCAAAAATTGCACCGCGCCTAATTCAAAGTTGCGGCTTAAGAAATTCAAAAAGAAAACCATTTTATAGGCTGCTAAATGCGTATTTATTTCGAGATTTTTCATGTTATTTGGTTTCAATTCTAGTAGCATTTTATTTGTTGTTTGTTTTACATGATATTAGCTAATAGTTGCGCTGGTTTTTGCTTTCTTTTTACTCTCTATGTGTGGTTTTGTTTTGTTCTCATTCTCTCATGCAAATATATCTCATTGTCTCGTTAAAAAGAAACTATTTTTGTTGGTTGGTGTTGTTTTTGTTGCCGCTTATCATTGATAGATTTATACGCAAAAGTGCAGTTAATGATGCAGATGCAGATTCAGATGCAGATGCATAATCAGATGCGTCTATATGCCTAGCCAACGAATTTACGAATTTTGTTTGAGATTATTCGCATTCGAGTTTAGAAATGTTTGATTTGGTTTTGGTTTTTGTTAATATAAAAAGGAAACATTACTTTATATTTAATTTCAGACCTAAATTATTAAGATTTTAATGCAATATTTATTTGTAAGTTTGTTTTTGTAATTGAATAGCTTGAACCATTTGTAGGACCTATAAATATTCATTATTATCATTTATATAATAATCTTAATAAAATAAATATGTAGAAGAAAAATCTTATGCCTCCGTTTCAGTTAGTTAAAGCTGTGAGTTTTTATCCGCATTTTAATTTGAAGGATAACAATTATTATTCGATTTATAATTTAATTTAATGTAATTTAATTTACTTCAAATTTAGGCATTTTTCCACTTGCTTTTGCATTTGCTTTTGCTTTCATTTCGTTTCGTTTATCATCAAGATTTAAATGAAATACATGATGCATCATTAATTTTGGTTTTTGCTTTCTCTTTTGCGTGTGTGTGTGTGTGGGTGTGTGTGTGTGTATTCGTGTATGTGTTCACTTGAAATTGGCATTGCAATATTTAAAAAACCTCAGCGCCTCGATTTATCGATTTGTAAATAAGTTGCGCGTTTTGCTTTGCTCTTTTGGAGCATATGGGATGGGGGTATAGGGGTATATACGGGAGGTGTATGGGGGTATATGGGGTTATATTCTGGGCAATTGTTGGGGTATTGGAGTTCTTCCTCGAGACGATGACTACCACACGACACGACGATTGTTGCGAATAGAAAAATAAGTCAAGTAAATATTTGTATATATGTATATGTATATGTATGTGTTGTATAAGTATTATAATTTCCTCTAGGTATATGTATAGTACTTTTCTCTTCTCATGTCCAAGTTCTGTTTTGCTGTTTTATGTTTTGTTTATTGTATTTTGTACCAATCAAAGTAACACTGTCCAGACAGAGTGTCATGGTGTGAAGCGGCCTTCTCCGTATAGTAAACATCTCTCTCTGCCTATCTATGCCTCGGATATCGTAATATTTCGGATATCATATCCTGTGCAGATACTACATAATGCATGTATTGCAATTTTGAATGGGATGTGTGTGTGTGTGTGAGTCGTTAAGCCTATCCGAAGTTACTTCAGATGAGTGTTCCTAGTGTGTTTCTGTGTGTCCAAGTATTTTTGTTTGTTTATACGGTAAATATAATCTATCATAGTTCTTTTAAATGTCTCTAACAGCTCTGAAGGTATTCAGGTTCGGTCGCATAACACATGCGTTGTTGTCGATTGTTTTTTTTTTGGTAGAAATACTTTTTGTGGAAATACTCTGCTCCGTCTTCTGTTTGTGTTTCTGCATGCCCGTGGTTCGTTCCACGGTGCCCGCAATACTGTTTTTAGGATTCCAGCAGCGGCTCATTTTCCGAATCGGAATCTAACATTTTCCAGACCATGCGCCTGACGTTTCAGACTGCCGCTGTCGGCCCAGGTGGAGTTGAGATACTCGTCGTCATCGTCTTGCTCAAGTTTCTGCAATGGAAAAGGGAAAACGTGTGGATTGAGTTAAGAGTTAAGATCTCTAAAAGATAGTAGATGAATATAATATGTACTTTAATGGTAGAAGGGATACATATGTACATATATGATATTATGTCTCATAAGTGTAAGGTAGTTTTTATCCCAAACCTTTGTTAACAAAGTTCACATACCGAAAATGGTTTCGGATAATCTTACCCTTGGACTGAGTTGGACGTTGAGAGCACACCGTTCTCCAGGGAATCCCTGGACAGCTCGTCGGCCATCTGAACTTTCAACTGATGACCGAACGAGTTCATCTCCGAATTGGGCGTCATCTGGGAGCCCGCCGGAGATTGTGCGATATATGGACCGGGGGTTGTGACCGAGCCACCCTGCGATATGGAGGTGGTCATGCCGGGACCACCATTGGGCAGGACACCCTCCAGACAACTGTCATTGGTGGTGGAGTCCATGTTGATGATTTGGCTGCCGGCGACATTGTCGGCCAGGACGGCGCCGTCACTGTCGTCGACGGCATCGATATCATCAATGTCCATGTCCTCGGCATTCTTATCGAGAGGCGCCGTCTCCTCGTCCTCGTTGTAGATCTTGAAGTAGGCGTACGTCAAGTAGATGACCGAAATGATGAACGAGGGAATGGGTATGGCCATGGAGTACACCAGATTGAGGGTGTTCTGCCAGTAGTCCAGGTCGCTGATCACCAGACTGGGGTCCACCCTCGAGTAGTAGCAGGGGAACTTCATCCCGATCTTCGTATACCGCCTCAGCCAGATGGTGCAGTTCAGCATGGGCGGATAGCCACACCCCTTCACATTGGGAAAGAGGCGGGCGCCCACATAGTAGTACATGGACCTGTTGCCCATCAGACCCTCATTCAGCTCGGAGATCTCATCGAAGGGATGGCGCTCGTCGTTGATCAAGGTGCCCGTGGCACTCAGACCCCGCTCATCATCCGAGTCCTCAATCAGAAAGCCATTGGAGCCGTCTGCATCACCGAAGCTCAACTGATCCAGCCTTCCGCCCGCACCTATGTCGACGTCCAGGCCGGTGCCATCGATGCCACCGCCCAGATTATCGTATTCGTAGTCCCGCAACGCTCGCTCATAGCGATCCGTGCGCTTCACGGGCGGTATCACGCGCTCCGATTCCTTCAGGTTAATGTGGTACTCCGTGAAGTTGAACTCGTCCGTGAAGTTGTACAGATTGAGGCGATAGTTGACCCGTATCTGGGTGCACGTGTAGATGTCCTTGGTGCAGCCCTCGCGGCACGACGACCACGAGCAGTTCTTGGCGCCATAGAAGATCTCCGTGTCGTAGGTCTCGCACAAAGCCGGCACCTCCTCGAACTGCATGAAGATCGTGGTGAAGGCCGGCTCGATGACGAACGGCACCAGAAAGAGGAATGCGAACAGGCTGAACGTGCCCAGCAGGATGAAGAAGGCAGTCGTGTAGAAGAGCAGTTTCTCCTTGCCCGTACGTTTGTCGGCCTCATCTCCCATTCTGTTGGAGTTTAGGTTTGATTTTGGTCTCTCTTTCACTCACTCTCTCTCCCACTTTTGATGGAGAGCTTCTCAGATTTAGCTTTGAATAAAGCCTGGTTTTATTTTCTCAATTGGCGCAGGTCTGGCGGCGGCGGCGGCAGCGGAGCAGAGCGGCAGCAAAGTATTCCAAATGCTTGGGTTTTCGGTTTTGGGTTTCCGTTTGGGTTTGGGCAGAGGGGCAGCAGCGGTAGTGTAATATAAGTATTATCCGTATAGTTGCAAATAGATTATCCTGGGGCGTGCTTTAGGCGAGTATGGAGTGAGGTTAATCTTGTACTTAGGTTAGAGTGTTGCGCTTAGATTAATTAATTAGTTAATCGATAAATAACGATGAACTACAAGCTAGATTTACGATTACGGTGCAAGTTATATCACAGGGAGAGTTCGATTTTCGTTTCTCGCTTTCTGCTGTTTGTGTGTCGTGTCCTTCCTTCTCCTCTTGTTCTTTTTGTTGCTGTTGTTGTTCCTGTTGTTGTTGCTGTCCTTCTCTTCTTTTTCTTGCTCTGCTGCTGCTGCTGTTTCCCCGTTATCTTGGACATCTCTGGCATCTGCAATAAGGCAGGCTGAAGGCGGCGGCGCCCTGCATTTCTGTGCTGCGCATCACTCGATTAGGCTAAATACTCCTTTGGGGGCGCGTGTCTCCATTGACTCCCCCACGCATCCTGGATCCGTTCTGTTCTTCCGTTCTTCCCCTCCGCACTCTCCTCTTCCAATGTCTTTCTCTCACTCTCTGTGGCAGTGCGTACGTATGCACACGTGTTCAACGTGCTGGTGTGCGTGCGGGGATTCAACCTTTACTAATTGCTTTATGCCTCCCAACGGAGATGTTTCGTCAACATCAGCACGATGATGCTGCTGCTGTTGATGCAGTGCCTCTTCCTCCTCTTTGTCCACGTTCACGTCCACGTCCGCGTCCTCTTCCTTTTGGCTTGATTTTGCTGCTGCCTCGGCTTGATTATTTTATGACTGCGGCAAAAGGCTAAGCTTGATTCTTCTGCAAGTGTGAGTGCGTGTGCTTGTGTATTTATGTGTGAGGCTGTTTGTGTGTGTGTGCGTGTTTTGTGTTCCGTCCGTGGCCTGCCGATGGCCAATTTTGTGGAGGTCTCACTCTGCTCTGCGGTTCGCTGCTGCTGTTGGTTCCACCGATGCTTCTTAGCCTGACATTTGGTTCACTTGTTCAATACATTTCTATGTACATTTAAAAAAAGAATGCTGGACGGAAAGTTTTTGGTTGCTTTCTTTCTCCTTTTTCACTGTTTTTGCTTTGTTTTGTTTTCGGTGTCTCCCTCTCTCCACAGCTTTCACACACTATCCGTGCCACGTGCAGTTCAAAACTGTGTTGGAGAACGAGACAGAGACAAAGAGAGAGAGAGAGAGAGAGAGAGAGAGAGGACTCGGTTTAAAATACTGATACCACGTTTACCGTTAATGCGCTAGTAAATTGGTATTTTTAAACCCCCGGGGAAAAGGTGACGACGTGTGTAAATGTCCGCTTGCGTTTATTTTTATATAACCTCGACCGACGACTAGTCGCGGGGCTGTTGCTGGTTTCGTTTCTGTTTGGCCAGTTGAAAGTGGGCCTCTTGGCTCTTACTGTGAGGAGTATTACGAAACGGAAACACGCGGCGCAGGCTGGGGCAGCAATGAGCTCAGAGGCATAGCACCAGCACGGGAACGGGCACGAGCGGCATGTTTAAATAATAAAACTCCTTCAGTCAGGCCCCAAATGCAGTGTTGCTGCTGAGAAAGAGGGGCGGGGAGGAGACTGTGTGGAGCCACATGTAATTTTCGATTCATTTGGCACGCTTTCACACACACACACACACACACACACAGTCACATAGAGAGGCCGTGCACATGCAAGCCCTACCACAAAAGTCACTGTAGAAACAGAGAGACAGAGAGAGATAGAGAGAGAGAGAGAGAAAGAGAGATTGAGTGAGTAAAAGAAAGGAGAGCCTGCCAGCTCCAATCGAAATTATGCGGCATATATAGGCGGCGGCGGCGACGACGACTGCCAGACCCCTCAACCCATACCCTACCTTACCCTACACTCTGGCAACGGCTGAAGGATTGAGAGTATGAGGAGGACTAATGCCTCCTTGGCAACTTCTTGTGCTTTGCACGAAACGATTTTTCAGCTGCCTCCGCCACTAAAAAGATTTCCCATAGAGGCAGATCAATTAAATGTAGTTGGAGCACACAAATTTCTTGTATTTCTATTGTGGGGAAAACCACACTAGCATGTGTCTCTTTCCGACACCACCCCCCTCGCTTCTGATTGAGTGACGTAGAGTTGCGTGCTGCTACTGGCTGTGTGTGGGTGTGTGTGTGTGTTACAGATTTTGAGTCTGTGTGTGTGTTTACTCAAGGTTCAGGTTACGCGGTGAACGGCAACGGACGACAGGAACGATTACGCATTTTCAATCACACGGAAAGGAAAACCCCCCCGCACCGCACCGTACCACACAGTCACAGTTTTCCCAGTGTTTACCCGTAGTCAACAGAGAGTGGGCATGGGCATAGGCATGGCCATAGCTCCTCGTCTCATTTCATACTTTTAGAGTTAACAATTTTTATGACCTGATTGCGCGCACGGGGTCAAAAGTTGCAAAACACACAAAAAAAAACCATTCACGTTCGCGTTCCAAATTTCTTTCTTGCCATTATCGCAGGAGGAGCCTTAGCGAAACAACGGACAAGAAGAGGCGATGGCGATGGCTATGGCAATGGTTGTGGCTATGGCTGTGGCGACAAACGACAATAGAGGAGCAGCGACGACGACGGCGACGACAACCAAAAGACAGCCCCAACGGCTGCGACGATGACGGCAACGAGAGAACGAACGGTAAACTCTTCACCGAAAGGACTGCCTGCCACTGGCAACGCTGCAGCTGAAGCAAGGGCCCATGCCCCGTCATTAGTGTGTGCGCGGAGCTTCGGAGACGAGCTTGAGAGCGCAGCTTTTGCCCTGTTCCGTTGAGGAAGCTCTCCCCCGAAAGCTGTCCCAGTGGCAGCAACGAGCAACGGGCCACTTGGATGACGTAAAGCCTGACAGCGCCTGCGCCCCACCAGCATACACTCACATTGGGGCAGAGACGAGCGACCACCAGCGACGGAGTCGGAGCCAGAGCCAGAGCCAGAAAAGGCAGAGAAATGTCAGAAGAGCTGGCCGTAAACAGCAGGGAAACGTGAGCCGTGAGCCGTGCACGTCACATAGTTCGGCTGTTTGGAATTTTCTCGGCTCGCTGGCCAGTGGGAAATGGAAGGAAAAACCAAAAATCAAATCATTACTGCCTTATGAATAGCTGCGGATCAGCCAGCGAAATCATTCAATAATCCCTACTCGACAAGTGCATAATGTGTAGGCGTGTGCTAAGAGGCTGTGACTGCGTTTTATTATGAAACGACTTTGCTGGCCAGTGCGACACGGATATTCGGACTACTGCTTGTATATTGGTGTGTGTGTGTCCTGCCCCATGGCATGCCTCTCTCGTCGGTCGTTGCTCGTGTCCTCTCCCCCTCCGCGTGTGCGTGTGCTGTGAACGTAAATAAACCTCAACATTCGATGGTTCAACATCCACGATTTACATGTGAGTACTACAAGAAATTGCAGTCCAATTGAAGAAATCGAACTCAAGTCATGATGAAATAAATCCTTCATTGCTCATTGATTGACCTTCCTTCCCACCACAAGCGCTGCCTACTTATGAGCGCATTCCGCATATACTAGTACATATGTACATGTTCATGTGTATATGGAGGGGCAACAGTAACATTCCTCAATAACTTTGGCCCTGCCATTGATTATTCAATGTGGATGTTATAAACACGAAACTTTAGTGTGGAGCGTGTCCAAGTGGTATTGAAAAAACATTCTGTCAGGATCTATCTCCATTGGAGATGCACTCTCTCCCATGGCGCGTCAGAAAGAGGGTCGTCAATGCTGTGTTTGTTGAACGAAGTTGCATCCAACGGATTTTGTTTTAGATTTTTTGTAAATATTCATTGCCATCAGAATTCCAGAGTAATAAATGGTTTCAAAATTACAATTTGCATAAAAGGGGTAGAAATTCTCCACTAGGCGCACTAGGTTCAAAGCCAACCATCTGTTTGCTAGTGTTGTAAATGATCACCCGTGCGTACATCAGTGCTGTAAAGTCTCCCCGTCTTGGGATTTTCGAAAGGCGTTAGGACATTTTTCGACACGATAAAGAAAAACAAAGTTAATTTTACGCCCGCTGTTAGTCATAAAAAAAGGAAAGTTGAACTGAAGCGTCAACAACATGGAAGTCATCCTCACGATTCTCTTCTTCACCGTCTTCTGGGCCGCTGTGGGTCTGATGGGACCTAGTCTGGTGTCCAAGGCGCATCAACAAGATCTGGTGCGCTGCATCTTCCTGCTGGCGGCGGTCTGTTGCTGGCTCTTCTGGCTCTGCTGCTATTTGGCGCAACTGAATCCGCTGATTGGACCCAAGCTAACCCAGGAAACCGTTCGACTCATTGCCAAAGCCTGGAACCATCCCCTCAAGGAGGGATGACAATATACCGAAACATTGTTAATCTCTTGATGACGTTCGACAGTCGACTCCAGCTAAAGATGATGCTGTCACTCCTCACACTACGGAACTTACACCGAAATACAATCTGCTAACGAATTTCGCTAACCTATTTTTGTACTTTTTACGCACAGAAGTTAAATATAGTACTTGTCTGTTGATAGCTATAATGTACGATGGCGTCATGGCAGCCCAGCCCGCCCTTCTGGATGGGGGAGAGCAGAGAGGAGCAGCAGCCGACCCTGTCCGCGTCCTGCAGTTGCCTCAATCTGGAGCACAACACAACATTGAACAGAGAGTGCACTTGCACCCACGGCCGCCATGCGGAGGACGACTTAATCAATGAAAATTCAGTGAGCGTGAGCGTTAGAGCCAGTGTCAGTGTGGAGGGGTATTGGGTGGGTATTAGGTCGGGGGATGCCCATAGATTCTTTGCTGTGCCTTTGCGTTCGACAGCACCAAAAACGTGAATGCGGAACTCTATTGATTTTGCAATAAAAATGCGCGCGCATGGCGCTGCTCTGCTCTGAGATTTTTGTGCCCCCCCAAACCGGAGAGCAGGCTCCAAAGCTAACATGTGCCACACGACCCCCGAACGAAGTGCCATCTCGTGGGGCACGCGACGGTGGCGGCATGTTGTCGGCGGTCAGTGAGGCGCCAGAGAGCGGAGCGGAGCAGAGCCGAGTGCATTCTCCATTCGCCAATCCGAAATCACTCGCAGCGCGAACTCTGTGCAGAGCAAAGCCAGAGCCTTGGGCCCAGTCTGAAAATTGTCACGAGCCCCAAGCACGGCAGCTGCTAGCTGCTGGTCGCCAATCAAGCGAAAAATAATTACCAAAAATACTAGAAAAAAAGACCAATAAATAAATCTAGCAATCAGAAATCAGCAAATGGATCCAACAGCTCAAAGAGAACGACAGCTTTGAAGAGGGAGCGGCGAAGGCGACGGAGAGATATCCTGACCAGGCAAAGCACGTGATGCAATTGGGTTCCGTATGGGGCAAAATTTTGTAAAGTGAAAGCAAATAAAAATCGATCGAAAAGTGTCACTCCATCTGGAACATCAAAAACGTGCGCGCAGCCCGTGTAACTTGCAGATTCGAATCCCACGTCCCCCCCGCAAAAAGCAAAAAGCATACGCAAACGAGTGGGCCAGCGTTATATAACACACAGAGGCACAGGCACAGGCACAGGCTCAGGCTCAAGCTCTTCACCCTCCCACGCAAAACTGCTTGCTCAATCGATAGACTGCCCTGCCTGCTTCACTGCCTCACTGCCTGCCAATCCAAGACGATGTGTGCTCCTAATTAGATTACAGCCCAGGGATTAACCAGCAGAACCTAGAACAGAGGAGAACAGAACACCTGCCGTTTGCCACCAGTTTAACGCAAGTCCGCAAACACACAGCCGCACGAAATGGGCAAAAAAAAGGTGGCCGAAGAGGATCTGGTTGTGCCGCCACAGGACACCAGGATCTGTGGCACCATCTGCATCTGCCAGATGACACTGGTGCTCAGTTCAGTGGCCCTAGTCTACCTCACGGTGGCCATATACATGCCGTCCACGCGTGCCTTCAAGAGCGGCATCGACCCAACCCCCGTGATGTGCACCACCACGCGGGCCCTGAATAAGGACAACTGCGAGTGGGGCAGCTGCGGGGAGTGGTGCCTGAGCAAGACGTCAGGTGCTTGCATCCAGATCTATGTGAATCTACGCAGCAACGGCTCCAATCTCATCTTCCAGAACTGCACGAACTCGGCGAACAAGACGTGCTACGGCATCGACCAGGACCGGGCGGACAAGGCGCGCTGCATCAACGATGAGTGCAAGAACCTCACAGGCACTTTCAACTGCACCGCCGGCCAGTGCCTGAACATCACGGACGCCTTCGAGTGCATCTTCCACAACAGCGATGCCCCGGTCAAGTGCTCTGGTCGTCGCGGCAAGATCAACTGCATGGACATCAGCGGGCTGTATTCGTGCAGCCGCGGGACCTGTCGCAAGATCCGCACACCCTACAACTGCGACCGCCGGTGCGTGGACATCCCGACCAGGAACAAGAACGTTGTGGTGCTCAGCGGGGACAAGGTCTATCTGTCGCAGTGCCAGAACGCCATCAATGCCGAGACCCTGGAGGAGGTGTGGAACGAGTCCAGCGAGAATGTGGCCATGACTTCGTGCTACTTCATCAAGAACACCTCGGATCGCGTGGACGCGGTGGACTGCATCAACGGGTCGACGCTGGAGCACAATATGCTCAGTGATCTGACCAATTTCACATATCTGAGCCACCTGCACGTCTCGGTGGCCACGCCCGTGCCGGAGATAGCACCGCCCGATGTCGATCTGACCATCTCCAATGAGTCCAAGCTCATGATTAATCTCGAGGGGTGCGTCAACACCCTCATGGACGAGTGCAAGGAGTTCCTCAAGGACTTTGGACGCGACGGCAGCGATCATAACGCTCGCGCACGCTTTCCGTGCTTTTACTCGCCCGGCAAGAAGGACATTGTGGTGGCCCGGTTCGACCTGGAGGTCACCTATCGCCAGTTTGTGTTCGCCTCGGTGGTGCCATCGGTGCTCTTTGTCGTCTCCTGCTCCATCCTGCTGATGTGCCAGAAGACCGTCTACGTGGGCGACGATGCCAAGATGCGATTCAAGGGCTGCGTCGACACCGAGACCATCCTGAACAAGAACAACGTCGGAGCACCCACCAACGGCGACATGGGCGGGGGCGGTGGCGATGAGGTTATGGCCCTATGAGATCCGTCACGTAAGCAATCCCAGTACTATTGAAAGGAACCCAAAACGGTATTCCAGATAACCACTGAGTATTTTCTGTCGACTTTCCGTCTTACAGCCGCCTTTGCCATTGCCCACATGTGAGAGGTTCGACTACCAATGGGTGTCCAGGTCTCTGGAACGATATATGTATTTCTCAGTTGTCCAACTCCCTAGATCCTCCAGATAGAACAACAGACTTTAGAGCAGAGCAAAACAGAAGGCCCCATATGAACATAGGATATAGACATATAGTAGTTATAGCCTCTCCCTTGGTCCTGTTTTTAGCACCCGACAGTCACAGCCCCTGAACATCATTAAAGCTGTATCTCCCATTAATATTCGAACTTTCTCTTGTTTTCTGCAGGCATTCCTCTGCTCCAGGAAGACAGTCCGATACATCAGACTGGGGTCTTCGCTTTGCAATAATTGGAGTTGGCCAAAACAGCGACTACCAGAAGAAGAGCACAATCGAGCAACTTGAAATTCTTTGTAATCCTTCCATTGAACTTTTAACAAACGACCACAACCACACAGCCACACCCACAGCCACAGCCACACCCACACCAACCCAAAGGCTTGCAAGGACACTGCTGAGCTAACAGCAGAAAACCCAAATACTTGAAACAGAAACTGAAACACTACGAGGCAAGGAGAAGGCGCGTGAAATTCTCAAGATACGACGATCGACTCGACTCGATCGATCGATCGATCAAAAGACAATATTAGTATAATTTTTTGCATTAATTCGTTATTAATTGAGTTATTTGTATTTTCATCGGATTAGGGCCAGAGGCTTAGGATAGGTGATGTAGGTAGAAACAGGGGGACAGATAGACAGACGTCAGAGCGAGGATTGATTCAATATTTATTGTTAATTATGCAGCTAAGTTTTTTCTAGGGAATAAACGCACACACCCAAACACACACAACACACATGCACAGGGACACAAGAACACACACCCACACACAGACACCAGGAGCAGAAGCAGAAGCTGAAGCAGCAGAGGAAGAAGAAGGAGGAACAGAATACGAAGGAGGCCAGAGACATTTCAGAATTGGTCCAACAAACAAACAGCTTAAGAGGAAGACTAGGAGGGATGCGTGATCAAAAACAAAATCTATAATCTATAAAAAAAAGAATTATCGGAACGACAAAAACTATTCAAAGTCGAAGACGAAAACGAAAACGAAGACGAAGCAAAAGTTAACCCTAAACCAAAAGCAGAAAAAGAAAAAGAAACCTAAAACCGAAAACCGAAAACAGAATAATAATAAAATAAATTTAGATAACTTAATCAATATACAAGAAGAAGGAACGGAACCGCCGCCTTCTCTCCCCCGCCCCAAAAGGAGGTTCCAATTAGATTTAAACGAAAAAACGAAGACACCTTTTTCCTTTTCGGCTCTACAAAAATAAGGCAAATAGGAAAAGAGCAGAGCGAGAGACATCGATAGACGAGATATAGAGACGTAAGCTAACCCACATTCACAGTAGAAAGGAGAAGGCAGAAGCGGGTACGCGGGGAAGGGATAAAGAGACAAGGAGATAGAGATAAAGAAAGAGTGTAGAATTGTTAGCGGTGTTCATTTTAAAAGCTTTTACTGATCCTAAAATCTAAGAAATCACACGAAACCACACACAGAACACGCACAACACAGAGAGCACAGAGAATCAGAATGAAGAAGAGCTCCACCCTGACAACGACAACGTCGATGCCGACGAGTCCCACGCTCTCGGCACAGACGCTCTCCGCCAGCAAGATTAGCCTGAACAGCAGCAGCAGCAGATCGGGCTCGGTGGCGGGATCGATACGCTCCTCCTGCCAGTCACCGGTTAGGCCGGGCCGCGGCTGCGTGGACGCCATCAAGGCCAAGCGCGAGGAGATCGAAATCGACACACTACTCGAGAAGGCGAAGTTCTATACCTCCGTGTGCCTTGGTAAGATAAAACACAATCCCCTATATGTACATATGCACATTCCCTATTCACGTCTGATGGATGGTTCTTTCTTTCTGTCTTCCAGGTACAACTGCCATTTTGTCGGTGTTCACATTCCTCTTCCTGATACCCTTCGTAGTGGATCCCGCCATCTCAACGATCATTGCCGACTACGATCCAGTGCCCGTGACCTGCATTGTGATCGATCACATCTATGCGGAGGGCATCAAGAACTGCAGCTGGAGCTCCTGTCGCGAGGGCTGCACCTCATCACTCACCAAGTAAGTGAGAAGAGTAGACCTATTGTAATCCAATCGATTCTGATTCCATATCGATTCCATGTACCAGGTGCCATCAGTTGTTTGTCAACTATACGCGCATCCCGTACAGCGACTGGGAGCGAAATCCCCGGGACCTGGACACCGTCAACTGGGATGTTAGCTATACAAAGTTTCTGATTAACTCCGAGGGCTGCGGGTACCCGCCCACGACCAACTGCAGCGTCTTTGCCAGGCAGTATGGGTAAGCTTTCAGTTGGATTAAGTAAATGAGTTTATACGCAATTAAATGGTAACATTTCTTTCGATTTGATGGTAGCTTCTCTCATATTGGGGAGCCGTTCCCCTGCTACTACAGCCGTGCCTATCCAGAGGTGGTTATCGGCCGCTACTCGTGGGAGAACAATCTGTACCATCTGATCCTATCGCTGATCATACCGAATGTGCTCTTCGCCATCTCCATCGGGGTGCTGAGCTACTGGTACTGCCCCTGCTGCGAGAAGGCCTGCAATAAGTCCTCGCGGGTCTACGCCGAGAAGTTCCCAACCAAGGAAGAGTGAGTTCAATTCCAACAAACAACCAACCAAGCAACCACCAGACGCTGCATCTGCATCTCCTGTCCAGCATCTTGTTTTCATTCATACATATGTTTGCGATTCGACTTCTGTATACTGTATACTGTCGTACTGTAGTAGAAACCACACACTACACTCCTTCATTGTGCCTTGTACGAAGATACTACATATTGTCAAAGATCGTGCTGTATGCTGTATGCCGTATGCTGTATGCTCTATGCTGTACTCTTCTCTCTCCTACGTTTATGAATGTAAATTATACTTTTGTTAAGCTATTGGCCTAAACCATAAGTTGAATCATACCCAAAAATCAGAAATTGTAATGTACTGATTGTAACTTTTGTATATTTTCTGTTTTTTTACATCTCAAACCCTCCCAACCCGCCAATCCCCAGCCTGTAATTCATGGGTTCTTTCGTTCTTCTTCTCTTTATTACTTCTATATTACTTACAGGATCGTTAACTGCATGAAATGTAATACGGAAAAGTCGTTGTCCTTGAATGTATTTTGAAATATGAGATCTGATCGTTGATCTTTGATTGTTGATTGTTAATACCCCCCCAAATGTATTGTGATAGGTTAAGTGCGATGAAATGCTGAAATCAAAAAGTTATATGTACATGCATATATATCTCTGGCACCCAGTTATCGCTTGTCGTAGACCCACAACAGCAACCATAATTAACCAAAGAGAAACCCCGAACCGAATTAACGTTACTCTGAAGTGTCCTTAGCAATTACTGCATTTCCCCCAATTGTAGACTTAGTCCTTAGCACCTCTCAAGGAGCCCTCTCCACACACACACACACACACACATATACACACACACAGAGCACAAAAGCCCGATCAAATTGAAAGGAATTTCGTAATCTGTATACCACATACATACATACATATGTATATCAAATATATTCACTCAAAATACACTCGTGTATTTTTGTAGTCTGTAGCTTTAACTTTACAAAAAACAAACAAAACAAAAAATGAATTTACATGAGGTTTCTTTCAGGTTAACCCACACGCCCCCAGCATATACCTTTTTTTCTATTTACTAATTCTTAAACTATTACATGCCTATATATATACTCGTACTCGTATACATATCGAATATTTCTCCTATTTAATTAAACTGATATTACGCATAAGAAGAGACGGCATCAGCCAGGCCTTTTTTGTGCATGCTTTTCGTTTGAACCGCTTTTGATTATAGAAAATATTTGTATTGTATGGCATGATCCGATCCCCGTATATATATATGTATACAGAACATATACTCTTACTATATTTATCGCTTATACTATCACTAAACCAAACTCTGACTAGAATTGATTAAGAACTTTGTTTCAACCCGATGTTCCAATTCTAGCAAACTTCTGTGTCACAGTGACGAAGATGATGATATGGAATACTAGCAAAAATACAAATTAGCTAAAGCTAAAGCTAAAGCCCCTAAACAAATAGCGAACTCAACTTTGTAGTCTGTATCACAAACACACCCACACACACACACACACATAGCTTATATTAAATAGATATAAAAACATACAATACATATATGAATCGATCGATAGAGAAATTCCATTTACCATCTGCCAACTCACAAATCGGACGATATACATACATACATACATACATACATATATATGAAGTACTCGTACAAAAAATAATAATTATAAATTGCCAGCGGAGCATCGTCGGAGGAAGGAAGGAAGGATAGCGATAGCGATACCGATAACGATAACGATAACCTTTTCCACTTGCATATATGTATAAATATATATTTTATTCGAAACTTTTGCGCTCTACAATTCACATCCCATCTTAGCCATCAAGCCATGCAATAATACTTTATTCGTACTATATAGAAGAAGATCCTTGTTTCAAAATACTGTACTGCACTGTACTGTCCTGTATAACTTTAGAACTTTGGCTTTTGGTGTGGACGATGCTCCGCTCTATGATTGCTCGACTCTCGACTTCGATTTACAGAATGATAATACCAAATACCAATTAAAGAATCGCTTGTTTTCAACAAATTGTGATAGTAGTCATAAAAATATTAAGTAAATTCGTAAAAACTAACTAAAAATGATAATGAAAACAAAACATGGCAAACGAAAACGAAGATGAAGAGAAAAAGAAAAACCAAACCAAACCAATCAAACCAATTGTTAGGGAACCGAGTCCGAGTCCGCTAAGATGAAGGTTCGTAGAGAAGATGTTGGCATGATAGATGATAGATTTATCACAAGATACTCGTACAAGATACAATCCAAGAGTTCAAGCAGAAGAACCAAATTTCTCACTCCAAAAAGTACACACATACACACTCTCAAACATTTTTGAAATAGTTTTAAAAACTCTTATGTAAAAACGAACATCTAATGAATTATAGCAATACATACATACATATATATGTATATATACATAGATATATATATATATACATATACATATAGCTTAGCAGAACCGATAAAACGCACGTTGCTTATGAGAATTTTTTTAAATCATACAAAACAAAAAACAAAACCAAAAAAAACCAAAAACTAAACAAAAGCAGAAGAACAACCAAAACAAATTTGAATGCAAAATGATTAAAAATTTTTTACTTAACGTGTCTTTATCAATAAACAAATTAAACCAGCTAACGGCCTATTTAATAAATAATTACACACACAAAAAAAAAACAAGAAGCAAAACGCTTTAAAAAAAACCAAAAACGTGGAGAAATGCTAAATGAGAAATGTTTTCTTTTCGAATGTGGTGGAAAGAGAGAGAGAGAGTGAGAGAGAAAGGAGAGAATAGAGGAAGGATAAATAAGGCCAGAGACAGAGCTCAAGAGCTCTCCCTCTCCCCGGCGCAGGCGTCGTGGCAGGACCTGGAACCATTTGTTGAGCTGTCTCCATCCCTGCTGCCCCAGTCCTAGTCCCAGTCCACACCGCACCATCCCGTTGTGGCTTTCACTTTCGCTTTCCTTTCGAAAAAAAGTAAAAGTGCGCAGTGTCCTCCTGCAGCCCTGGCGTGCCCTGCCTCCGCGCCGCTCCGGGAGACTCTGTCGGGATCCAGAGTCAGGATTTCAGTTTCGTACGAGCACGCACAAGGAGCGGACGTGGAAGGATCTGCGCTCCGTCTGTGGCCCCATCCCCCCCCTAAAGACAAATCATCTTCGGGTCGCGGTCAAAGTGAAGCCAGTGGAAAAGAAACCCCACAAAAAGTCCCCAAAAACAACACTCCATCCATCCATCCAACCACACACACATCTCATCCCAATCCTCGTCCAGTTTCAAGTAAACTTCAAAAGCTTCACACAAAAATAGAACAACATACACAACCCCCCCCCCCCCCTCCACACCACCAGCCCACCACCACTCCACCAGTCCAACGCCAAGCAACCAAAAACCCATCCAAACACCAGCCAGGCCCCAGTCCAGAAAAACCAAACGAGAATCACCTTGAAAAGTAGGGTAGGTAGTGTCCCGGTAGTGTCCCACGCGGAAAGTGGGCCACCAAAATCAACAAGTCGTAAATTAGCAGACAATCTAGAGGAAGCGCATTAGCCAGACCCACTGCCAGAAAACAGGGACCCAGCTCCGCAGAATGGCGCGACGCAAGAACAAGCCGCGCCTCATTCCCGAGCAGGACAAGCGCATCTGTCGTGCCATTTGCCTCTGCCAGCTGACGATGGTGCTCTCCTGCGTGTCCATCGTCTATCTCAGCGTGGCCATCTATTCGCCGTCCATGAAGTAAGACACAGAGAGCTCTCCCCACCCGGTTGTAGGGTCTATCTTTAACCGATGACTCAATCTTAATCCCTTGCAGGGCCTTCAAGTCCGGCTTCGAGTTGGATCCGGTCATGTGCCAGACCGTCGACCGTCAGATGCCCAACAACTGCCCCTGGGCATCGTGCGGCGAATGGTGTCTGACCCGGACCAGTGGCTTCTGTCCTCAGATACACTCTGTGGTCCGTCGGAATGGCACGGACATCCAGCTGAACAACTGCACGCGGGTGACCAACACCTCCTGTGCCATGGTAAGTAGTGCTCAAAAGTAGTTCCCACGCAGGCAGCACTCAGCCGAAGACGTCATCGTCTTGGACACACACTGAGAGAGTGGGAGGGTGACTCACTTGTGGCCACACTTGTGACCTCACTTGCGGTGGCTCCTGCGACGATGTGGAGGCATTTCGAGTATTTGGCCCTCGGCTTTAATGGACAACTGGCGCCTCGAATGACTTTTACGATCATTGAATGGGCCCCCATTAAGTTTCTATCTGTTTTCGTGTCTGTTCTTCGTCCCCAGATTGACATGAGTCGCCTGAACAAATTCAACTGCAACAACGGCACCGCCTGCAATAACATTCGCGGTGTATTCAACTGCTCCAATGGCAAGTAGAGAGACACGACACACACAGACACATCCAACAAGCATCTACTCTACTCCTTAGGTCACTGCAAGAACATGTCCGAGTTCTTTCTGTGCCATCACAAGGCCGATGGGCCCACGATAAACTCTGCCAAGGACAACACCAAGCTGAATGGGTTCTTCGAGTGCCACGGCGTTCACTGCACGAAGATCAAGAAGCCCTTCGATTGCGATCGCTACTGCTCCAAGATAACCACGACCAAAGTCAACGTGCTCATAATGCATGTGAGTGGGGGATCCCTGATCACCGATCACCCTCTACATACGAGTATACCCTATGCTGATGGCTTGCCTTTCCTTTTAGGAGGATAATCTCATAGCAGCGGACTGCGAGAATGCGGTAGCATTTAATCAGGCACGTGGCTCGGAGCACGGCGTGCGCATCGATCCCATTGAAATTTGGAAGGAGGACGATGGCAACCTGTTGACCAACTGCGCCACAGTCACCCGCGAGTCCGAGCATCGCATCAGGTGAGTGCACACGCTCCCTCATCCTTGAATTGTAGTCGAAACTAAAGCTTTCCTCTTTGCGACAGTGCCACAGACTGCCTGAATGGCACCCTCCTAGAGCACGATACGCTGCCAGCTCCCTTCATGAACTTCACCCAGTTCTGGGCCATCTATGAGAACAGCACCAGGGCCGTGGATCCCGAGCAGCGATACCTGCCGAACCAGGCAAATCTAACCATTTACAACTGGAAGAAACTGTACATCAACCTCGAGGGCTGCGTGAATACGCTCCGGGGCGAGTGCAAGGACTTTGTGGCTCGCTATGGCAACGATGGGGACAACAACACCGCCCAGTCACGCTATCAGTGCTACTACAACAAGGTGGGTCCCGCCCCCTCCACTGTCTGTGTAAGCTGATACTGGAGCTCAGGGTTTTGCTTTCCTCATTGCAGGATGCGAACGTGGAGTTTGTGGTGGCACGCTACGATCTGGATAAGGTGTACAGGGAGTTGGTGGTCTCGCTGATTGTGCCCATCGTGCTGTTTGTGGTCTCCTCCATCTCCCTCTGCATCATCACCAAGTCCGTCAAGGTGGGCGACGATGCCAAGATGCGCTGCGTCTGCGCCGGCGATGAGTCGGACGATGATGTGTTTGCCGCAGGACCAGCGGGCAAGCAACCCGAGCAAATGTACGACACGGATGACGATGTGGTGGACCTGGAGCACCAGGCAGTGGGCGGCCAGGAGCTGGAGGACATTGGAGTTCTGCCGCTCGACAGCCACGAGATGATTGGCAGCACCAAGTCGCTGATACCACTCAGCCCCACTGGGGACTCAAACACGAGTGAGCAGAACTTTGACGAGGACCAAGAGAAGGCAGCCAAGTGCGATGTGCCCGAGAAGCCGCTGGTTATACTCTAAGGATGGACATCGATGGGAACTGCATCCATGCTTGGATCCGCATAGAAAACAGCACCAAAACTTAATGGGGGAACTGAAGATTCGATTAGATTATATTCGGCGCATTTATACAACGTCTGTAGGAACCCAAACAGAACAGAACAGAACAGAATGGGACGGGAACGGACCTTGGCTTTTCTCGGATACATACAGATACATATACATAGAGGAAACGCACATGTACTTGTACTTATATATATATATAGATCCAAACGGATCGAAGGAACAAGAGCTTTATTTACCTGACAACTCCCCCCACTAAGAAAAATACCACTTAAAACCGAAGCTCGCAAATGGATCCGGTGCGGTGCCAGTAGTTGTGGCCTTAGAGGAGCGACATCTAAAAGACACGAATGGAATTTAAATGTACACCACGACCCACCAACCCGACATCTGCTGTACCAGTCAGGAACCAGGAACCAGGGACTAGGAACAGATCTAGTAGCTCCCATTTGCGGGCGGAACTGTTTACTTTATGAGAAAGCCAGAACAGACCAAGGAGGGAAATCTTCCCCAGACTTTTCTTTAACTAGCTAACTAGTTTCGATTTGATTGCCTAAATATATACACTCTGGGGAGTACGTACGCGTAGATACATATACTATTATATAGCAAATAGCTAATAAAAAGCAATTTGAAATCCTATACAAAATGAAAATTGCTCTTACCTTGAGCTCCTCCTGGCGGCGGAAGGAGTCAGCCATCATCTGGCGACGCATCTGCTCGGAGATGACAGCCTCGCGGCCCGGTGGGCCCTCGCCCAACTGATTGAGCTTGACCACCACCTAAATGGAGATTGGTTAAGATAATGGGTCTATGACGATGACCAGGGACGCCTCACCTTGGTCTTGTCATTGTTGCCCAAGTAGTCCTTGAGTAGCTTTCCCATGAATATCTGCCGGCCGGCGAACCAGAGCTGAGCCTTGGATGGCTCGATGACCTCCTTGGAGGCCTGAGTACCACTCAGATCCTCGGTGTTGGTGAACTCCATGCGTATGGTGTCGTGCGGTGGCAGCTGCATGGGGTACACGATGGTCACGGCACCACGCAGCAGATTGATTGCCTCCTGAACCGCCTTCAGGGACAGAGTCTTTGAGGACTTGGCCAGGTTCTGTGGGGTAACGGATCAGATTCCAGTTATATCGGAATGGAGCCACTAAAAATGATGCTGTTAGATGTTACCTTATCTATCATGGCCTTAGCTTCGGTTATGGTATTGGCCAGGACCTTGCCCATGGCCTCGTTGGGCTGCTGCCCGTTGCGGCGCAACATCGGATCCTTGTTGAAGGTGAACCCTCCGGAAGGGATGCACTTGTCCGCCCAGATATCCTTAAGCTTGAGCTCCTCGATCTGATCGTCGTTGAGGCCAATCATTTCACTGGGCAGCATGGTGCCGTGCTCGGCCAGCTCCTCAATTTCCATGCAAACGCGCTGCACCTTTAGCTGACCGTTGTAGATGGCCACCAGATCACGAATAACCGAGTCGGTCTTCTCGCCCACGTTAGTCTCGTACAGAAAGAGCGTTTCGTCGCCGCGTTTCACTTTTAAGACAACCATTTTTAGAGAGGAAATATTTATTCACACAAATAATAAAATTTGTTGTAAGTAAGTACAGCCGGCTTCTGACCCGATCAATCGATGAATGTCACAAATATATATGTAGATATATCCATGTCTGGAGATGACAGTTGTTGCAAAGGCAAACAAGTCGGTTGCTATGCCCCAGCTCCCTGGTGACGTGTTCCACAAACACACAAACAACAACAAAAACAAGGCCAAGGGTGGCGGTTGGGGTAAACATCGATCTTTCTCACATTTCTCACATTTATTTTCGTGTCTTTCGCGGTCGAGCTATTGCACAATGCGTTTTGTTTGAGTCTCCTTCTGCCACAATAAATAATATATTCTAACTTATGGTAAACACCTGTCTGTCCTCCGTGCATCTGTTCGATTGGGTCGTGTCGGGCCGGGTAAAGTGCAGTAAAGTACAAGTAGCCTAGGGGTAATTAATATTATTTACAAGGATGTCATGCCGCTTTCCCGGATGCAATAGCCTCTCTGCTAGGCCTTCAAGTGTTTGGGTGTCTATTGGGGGAAGGGGAAATCGTTACCAAGATCCAAAAAATACAGCCCCAAATATGTGCGTACAAATTAGATAGACAGTCGAGCATCGGGGCCGAGCTGCTCCGGGGAACTGAATGTGACTGATGCCGCCTTGAGGGCTCTTCATTGCCGGGTTATCTCAGCACTCGTCGGAAGTTTTCCATCTCGTATATGCTGTTTGATAATCTGCAAAGAAGAAGTCCAGTACCATTAGATTGGATGGATCAGGCAACGTTTGCTAAGCTTGGACGCACCTGCCGAAGGCATTGAAGAGAGCAACAATCTCCGGACGCGATAGTCTGAAGATGGGATCCGCCTCGATGTGCGGCCTGTCCCACAGACCGCTCTCAGTGGCCAGATTGAGCTTCTCCGAGTAGAGGATCTTGAGGGCAGTGCCCAGGCCCTGGGTCTGCAGCTTGCCCCACAGCTTGCACTTGTCGCATCCCACACAGCTCATGATTCTGGATATGTTGCGAAACTTCTCTTTGTAGTCGCTCTTGAACTTGATCGAGGCGATGCCGCTGCTGAACAGAGCATTCTCATCGAAGTGCGACTGGAAGGATCTGTGCATTTTTGATTAGTAATGTCCCAGAACAGAATCTCCGGAAGAGTATTCATGTACTCACTCTATGACGCTGAGAAGGTCATTGATGGCCAGCTTCACCTCGTCATCCTCCTCGGCAATGCCCGTGTAGTAATCCTCGCGACGCAGATAGGGCGCTGCCTTGGCCAGGGCCCGCAGCTCCACCAGGTAAATGAAGTACAGATTTCGCAGCCAGTGTGGACCCTCGCCGCCAGTTGTCTCTGGGCTGAAACGACGCTTGAACTCCTGGGCATTGGGCCCCCAGATGCCCTGCGGATCCAGGAAATCTTTCGATTCGGACAGAAGGTACTTGGAGCACAGGTGGATGTTGATGCTGGAGTGCAGTCCCGAGATGATGCGGTAGAAGGCGCGCTGCTCCAGGCACACATTCCGCAGATCCAAGTGCGGGACATAGTTGGAGAACTTGTTTGCCGTCTCGTTGTTGCCACCAAAGCAATTCTCCAGGTAGATGCTCTTCCAGATGCGGTGGGCTGACTCTCCCCGGTAGCCGGTGTACCGCTCCGGATTGAGCAGCAGATCGACATACTGCGAGCCCTCCTCGTGGTCATCGACTATGCAGAAATCCTCTTCAGCCTCGTCATGTTTCGCCCACAGCTCGAATTCCCGGTGCGCCTGATCACTGATGCTCGTGTCCAGGAAACCCAGGGCGCTGTCAAAGTCCTCGGCATCCGAGCAGCCGTTGGCCGATTGTGCCTCGCGTGAATACTGAAAAAAAAAATCAAAGATGAGGAGGAAGTCAGTCAACAGGTAAACCATTTGGCAACTGTGCAAACAGAAGCAGTTCCAATTGTGCTCCGATTGTAAGTGAGGTGTGATGGAGAACAAAAGGTAAACAACATTGAACTGCAATCAAAAAGGGGGCGGATGAATGGGCAGGGCAGCAAGAACACGTCAGCAATGCTACCAAAATATGACCACATCATTGTGCGCGAAGATTTACGCCCTTGAGACAATGGGAGATTACGTGGAATGTGGAATGTGTATAAATCACTTGCCAACCTATTGAGCGTTGCAGATAGTGAGGGAGGGAGGGGAGTGTCGTACTCCAACTTCAACAAAAAGAACGACTGCTCTCTGATAAGACGCGCAGATTGATAGCGCGCGCTCTCTCTTTCCGGCGGGGAATTCAGGGTAAACGCCCATCTCTATCTTACCTTGAATGCGGCAGCTTTCTCTTTGTGTTCACCCTTGTCCTTGATGCCCTGTGGTATGGCCTGCTCCTCGCAATTCTCCACTTGACAGAAGCGTATAGCACAGCGACTGTCGTCTGGCCAAAAAGGGCATTCCTGTCTGAGGTTCACCTTGTAGAACCTGAAGAAGTTCTTCACGAGCAGCGACTGGAGGCGGGGAAAGATCTTCATGTTGTTGAAGTGATCCACAGTGTCGACATCGCAGCTGCAATCGTTGATGGACCCCTCCAACTTTGTGTGTGGGAAATGAGAAAGTTTCATGCCTGAGTGAAGCGAAGCGGCTGCGGCCTGTCACTTACCTCGCAGAAGCAGTTTTTGTTCGTTTCGGTCTCGTCAAGGGCGGCAAAGTAGCCGCCCGTGGGATCTGCCCAGTACAGGATCACCAGGAGCGCCAGGAGCGAGGCCCACAGATTGCGCTGCACTTGTCGTGTACCTCTCGCAGACATTTTTCCTATTGTTTTTATCGCTGCTGCTGTTTCTACTGTTGCGTGCAACCTGTTCTTCTTCTGTTCGCCGACGAAGCGCAAGTGATTCCCCGAATGGAAATGCGCAATGCCGTCAGAGTCGAGTATTCAGAGATTTTGTTGCTTTTGTTGTTGTCAATTTCACAAATCTGGCGAATATTTACGTATCAACATTTTTGGATTTAATTTTACTTGACTTTGATTGTTTTTGGTATTTTTGGCACTTGAGTGGTTGGGGCACGAATATGAATATTTTGATATACTGTAAATATACTGACGAATTATTTGAATTCAAGTTGCATCATATTCCTCGTTTTGGGTATTCCGTGGAATATAACTAGCTAACTAAGACCTGAGGGTCTGAACTCATAATTTTATCCGATTATTACATCAATTTCCTACAAGACTAGTTAACTTTAGGTTCTCATCTGTTTGGATTGTTTATAAAATAAGGTTTAAGCAAAACCGGTCAACAACAATTTCCACTAAATGAATTTCCTTACATAGTAACTACACGCTAACTACACATTTCCCACATTTGAACTAAATTTTCATGTAATTAACAAAGGCGACACATGAAGCAGAAAGGTACAAGTTTCAAAAACTGTAGCCCATGGAAGCGCCAGTGTGAAAAACCTCCGTTATCCACTTTTTGGACATGCCTTTATAGCCGCCATTAAAAAAATTGAGATTTTGATGGCAAACGATAACGAATTCGATTCTGATCACTAATTAGTGTTCGATGTAGCCTGGACATGGCTCTAGGTGGCACTTCTACACGGTTTCAACATTGGTGCATAGGACAAGAGGGTGAGGTCCATGGCGCGTCTTAAAATATACTGGAAAATACTAGAAAAACTATGAAAAGTAAAAAAATTGAGAGGTGTGTAAGCTAGACGTGGCGGCAAGAAAATTAGTGTGACCGCGGATATCTGGTTAAGATATACCGCCCGACCCTCAGAAATATACCAAAACATACCGGCTCATTTTAAAATATACCGTAAATATACTGACGAATTCAAGTTCCTTTATACTTTGATATTCCGTGGAATATTACGAACTAGATAGAAATCTCAGCCCTGCCCACATAATTTTATCCTCGTGATGAGTAAATTTTCTACAAGATTAACTAGTTTTACGATACCCGATTCATACCGATTTGAAAATCGCAATTGTGGTGGCAGTGCTTCGGTAAGGTGGCAGTTCCTCGAAATTTAAATCATCGCAGTGTTGCCAGACCGCTGTAAAAAGAGCGAATAGCTAAATCATCGTAGTGCTGCCAGACCGCTGTAAAAAGAGCGCATGCATCCGTTGTATTTGAATTTTAGTTCGAATTTTGATTTTGCAATACTTACAGTAAATTATTTTCTATGTTGATTTCTACTTCGATTTTTGTGAGCTGCGAAGAATTCAATTTAAGAATGGATTTGGAGTTTAATGAAAACACACAAAAATATTGATATTTTGCATGAATTTCATTTCACAATTGTATCTGAACCAAACGAAACGAAACAAAACTGAACAACTCGTGTTGTATTATGGAATGAAAGCATTTCCACTCCATTGTGTATTGTAATGTCTATTTTGACATGTGTATGTATGTTTGAATCTTTCTTGTTTTACATTTTGATAAGGTTTATCACATATCTGCTTATGATCTATGGCTATTATGGCTATTGGATTTAGCTGGAGAGAGTGCTATAACTCACGAAAGGAACTCTAAAAATTATGTTTGACTAGGGAATGTATTATGGAGGCTCTTGAACATTTCAACACTTTAAAATAAACAAATAATTTCTAGGTACAAGGAGCGGGCGGAATCGGATATATCTTTACTTCATATCTAATAAAGCCTATCAACAGCAAGGGAGGTTATATTTAATCAATACAATTGTAGTTGCAATAAACGTACTTACGAAATAAATTCACTTTTTTTAAGTTAAAGGGAATTTTGAAGTGAAATTCTTTGGACCTTAGCTTTGAAACACGATCATAAATGACTTTCGCTGATCAAATTGCACGATATGATTGAATTGTCAATCAATTGATTGCTAAATGTGAATATTGCTGTTGGTTTCCATTCTTCAATATTGATGCTGTTAATTAATTACCTCAAATATTGATTCCCTCTATTCTTCGACGCTGAATGCATCTTTTGTTCCCATGACAAACCGAACCCTTGCAAGGCCTTGCACCCGTCGACGGCACCCTGTCTAAAACTTACAAGGGTTCCGTTCCTCCTTGATATGCAAATTGAGGAAACTCGGTCAGATCTCAGGCCAGTACCAGTGCCAGCAACTCCACAAGATCATCATCGTACATCGCCCCGCGGGGGGTAGATTGCTGTCGATGCTGGCGGGTAGGGTCAGGCTCCGGTTCGGGGTCGGGGGTCGGGTGTCGGGATCGGGGCCGGGTCGGAGCTCGGATCAGGGCAGGCCTCTTGATTATTTAAGCATAAATTGTGTCTTGTATTTTACGAAATAAATACTGTAACCACAAGAAAAGGCGTCTATGATTTGGTTTTTAAGTTTGAATTAGTTTTAGGAAATCTTTAGCAATAAATTGCTTTTTATCTCAGCTCAGTTTTTACTCTCATGAGTTTCCACGACTAAAAAACATCAAGAGTAAACCAATACTAATACTGCTGCACTGCTCCAAATTCAAAGATCATATTGTCTAAGATCGTCTTTCTATTATACCTCAAGCATCAAGCGTCGAGCGTCTCCCATTCTTAGCTATCTCCAGTTCCTTTGCCTCCTCTCATTCTTCCTCGAATTTCGCCCAAGACATCGACTAAAAGTTCTCACGGAAAAAGTGAAATTACAACAACGGGATGACTTAAGCAAAAAAACAACAAAAAAAAGATGAACCTCACACAAGCCGCATCAAAAACGGGGAAAAATCTTTAAAAAAAATGTACCGAACGAAGCAGCAAAAGGGTTTAATCATTTTTTTTTTAAATAGGACGATTAATGTAGAAAAAACGCAGACACAAAAACATGTGTGGCCAGGGGACAGGGCGATCCGGCGACCCTCGGCATTGTTCAAATTGAAAAGGAATCATCACGGACTCGGGCGATCAAATTTGCATACGCAGGACGAAGGACGAACCACCACCACCAACGACAGCGACAGCGACAGCGGCAGCGTCTCCTTATCTATTTGCCTTCGGTTCTTCCAGGTATAAAATACTCCTCTCTCACACACACGCACGCACGGAATGATAAATTCTTTTTTTTCCTCTAGACTTTTTTTTAGGAAGTTTTTTCACTTTTTTTTACCACTTTCAATTTTTTTTATGCAGCGTTTTATTCAAATTGCGATCCGAGACTGTCGTGTGAAGTTTCGTCTTGAGAAGATTTTGCCCCGAAACGAAGGATGCGCGCCAGAGCCTGGGAACATCCGCGATCGAAGGACAACGAAAGAGCCTGTTCAGAGACTGTTCATTTGCCTAGACATTTGATTACCTTACCTTACCCGATTGTTGGCGTGGCAGACGGCAAGGATATGTTGTTTACTAGGTGCCATTACTAGGATGGGAATTGTTGTCTTTTATCTCAAGATACCTACATATCTCAGAGGCTTAGATTCGGTAATTTAAGAGATACAAGTATTCGACTTTCAATTGGAAGCTTTGAAGTTTCTTTTGTGACTGCTTTATTTTGTCTACAAACTATAATTCGAAATCATTTTCCCACTGAACCACAAATCCCCTTCTTATCGGATTACGCAGTTTTCCCAGGCGGTATGCAAATGAGAGCATCTGCATTGCCTACTTAGTTGCTCATTAGAGATTCGCGCACTCATAATTGCATTCTACAATGTTTGACAACAGAGAAACGTCAACAGCTCTTCCATCCAGAGCCAGAGCCAAACCCAGGCCGAAGCCCGAACCCAAGCCAAGATCAAGATGCAGATCAGTATTCTGAAGGGCTGCAGGGCTGTGACTTGCGAAAATGTGCTGTAAATTAGCATACGAGTGTGTGTGCAACATCTTGTTGCACTTGAAATTTGCATAACTAAGTCCCGGGCAGAATGCAAATGCGCAAAAATGATGATTGGGTAACGATCCTTCCCCGCGGCTCGGTTCGGGAATCGCAATTGCTAATCCGATAAGTAGGCACACTCCGGGGGGTGCAATTTCTTTCTTGTTCCTTTTTTTGGCAAGGGCAGCGGTAGGGGATTGCTAGTGTCTAATAAAAATGTCTTCAAAATGGTTAACCCCCGATCTTAAGTGGCAATTTGGGCGACCAATCGACACGAATCCCAGGCCATCCTTCTTTATGGGCCACACACGGACACACAAAAGAGTGGCCAGGTAGGCCCACTCACACTAACACTCGAACAGGTGATGGATTGGACGGTCATAAGAGAAAGAGAGAGCACAAAACAGGTGATGGTCATAAGAGTCGGACGGAAGAGCCAGGTAGATTGTGGATAGTTTCTCTTTAAACTTTTGGGCTCTCTTTGCCTGTCTTTTCCACACTTTCTCCAGCTGTGGCCGCGGCTCGGATCGGATCGGATCGGACGCGGGGCCTGGGCCTGGCCTTGGCGGCCTGCTTGAGCGCCAAGCTCGGCTTCTTATGGCTTACCAGCGATGAGAACCTTGAGCGCTGGTCAGATCGTTTCTGGCTTTCGCAAGGTGCAGTCGTCGCCTCTCATTCCAGTCCACAACTAAGAAGCAACGGTTGCCGTGGATCGTACGATCCTCCTTCTGTTCTAATTTTAAAACATTGTGAGTGATATACGAGTATGTGTGTGTGTTTTTTTTTGTGTGCCTTGATGTGGACTTTTGCGTGTGGTGCAGCAGGTGCGGTGCAGGTGGGAGTGTGTCTTGTGCCGGATTCCAAGTGCATTCCAAGGTGACGGCATCTGCATATGGACTGTCTCCTGGCTGCCAGCTCACAGTTACATATGTACATATGCGTATACCGTTATGGTACGTTCGGAAAGAAAGAAGCGGAGAGAGAGAGAGGCAGCCAGCAGTAGCAGTAGAAGTCGCTTAACTTGTTCGTGAACCGACGAGCCTTAGGCGAAGAGTGGTTCCTCTTCCTCTTTGATGTGGTCTTCTACTACTACTTCATCTCCTCCTTCATCTTCTGGTGCCTTTCTTCGTTATCTCCTGCTTCTTCTGTGGCTGGCTAGTACTTGGTATTTATGTGCCTTGTCTTTTTTTTGTAACTTTTATGGAAGTGCTAAAAACGAAAGAGACCAACGAAAAAATCGCTTTGCAAATTGAAAAGCAGCTCCGAATCAACTACGATAGATGGACAGGCGTGCCTACATACACACATGCGTACATACATGTGCAAATTAAACAACTGCGGTAGCGGATTGTGTTTTTAAAAAGTTTTTATTTTACTTCGAACTTCACTGATATAGATTTAAGTAGAGGGTCACAAAGGAATTCCGGGCCAAGGGATTGCGCGATCTTAATATTTAGCTAGACTTTGCGGTGTCGCTGCTGGATCAAGACTGATTTGAACTTTCTGATCTTTGCATCGTTGATCCCTTTCGGGAATCGTTTTTCTATAAACATTTCAATTGATTTCGCCATCCCGAGTATTAGATTTCGTCATCCAAAGAGAGAACTGTAAAAGGCCTAAAGTGCAGGATCTGCAGAAAGCCGGGAGTGAGATTGTTTATGAGAAGCCGGGTGTGGGCAAACATTGGTTTTCCATTTAGGCGAGTGTCAAAGAATGGGATTGCGGCGGGGGCGCTTGAGATTGTACATCTTAGAAATCAATTAGGCGGAGGCCCAAGATTGAAATTGTTTTCGTTTTGGAAAACCAAAGATTGTTTACAACTCGTATAAGAGCTCAATGGAATTGGGTACGTTAACTCCCCCCATTCTTAAATGTTTCGTCCCGATACATTTTGAAGTTCTGATAGAGCTCTAATTTCTTCTGACAGTATTTGAATGTTGCTTTCCACTATTTCTTCTGACGGTATTCTTATTGATTTAATAAGTACAAATTTGGTTAATTTATAGCAGAAGTAAAATAACATTAACAATATCAAAATGATTAAAAATAATGTTGTTAATGGTAAGGCCGTATTACCTAATGTTATAAGGGGATTTAAAATATTAACATTATCAAAAGAAAATTGCTTATCATTTGATTGTATATAATCAACTAATTCAAAATCGCTATATCTATGATGCGATATATATTTTAGAATTTTACCCTTATCATTTATGTGGCTTATATTATTTATTACAATTGTGTTGTTGAATATAAGGAGATACGATCCTAACAA